CACACACCACACACCACACACACACACACACACACACACAAGGATATCGGATTCGTATAGTAATAGTAGTGAAATAAAAATTATGGATTATTTTACCTGTAAACACAGATAAGCTGACTCCTTGTCAAGAAGCATACAGAAAAGCAATTCAAAATCCAAAAGTTGGAGGCTACGTTCCGCGTTGTAAAGATGATGGCGAATATCAGGGGCTGCAGTGCAGTGGAGCATTTAGTCAATGCTGGTGTGTTGATAGCAATGGGAAAGAAATATCGGGAACAAGAACAACCTTAAATCTTCAGTGTCCTGATCCAGGTATACCGATTCCTTAGTACAGTAAAATTATTTAGTTGACAGGTGCATAAACTCTGGCAGATTTATGAGAGTACGCTTAGGTGAGAACAAATTGTACTTTACATGGAAGCCAAATTATCATACGATGGATTATTTCCCCCATTTTCATTGGCTGGGAGCCCACCACGTGACCTGCAAATAACTGCGTACAAAAAATCGACTGCTCATGGCTACTACCGTCTAACTCCGTTTTTGCTGCAAATAATATTCTGCTCATGCGCAGTAGTAACCACGCTCTTGTGGTCGCTCTTGTCTGTAAACATTATCAGAATCGTTGAACAACAAGAAGACCATAACAACAATTACGGCAACCTCTTCGATTCCTGTAGCTGAGAGTGCACCGCAACCACTTCTCACAGCCTCTCAGGAAGAGGATATTCTAAATGAGCTAAGTATCGAGCAATCTAACACGCAGCAAACAGTTAATAATTTTTACAACTGCGCTTTCAACTTTAAAAGTGAACTTTCAGAGATTGTGTTGAAGCTAATTGATCAATGAATACATTTTCCCTTTTTTTTTCGGATTTTAAATCCTTGAAGACTGTGAACTTGTTCCCGGCAGTTTCAGCCATTTGAAGGCATACATTTTGTTAATTAACAGTTGACGGTACGCACAATTTAAAGTCCACAGAATAAATTATTTAACTGAGAAGGAAACCATTTAATTTCTGGCAGCACTGCGCGCTTGCCGCTTCCCCCAAAAAATTGAAAACAAACTCCCTTGCCGCTTCCCAAAAAAAATTTAAAACAAACTCGGTGATCAAATGATAAAACAGTTATTGAACTCGTTTATCGCAAAATATCGTGATTTGTCAGTGTCTCGCAGATCGCCAAGGACAAATCACGATATTTTGCTCAACCTCATCCAATAACTGTTAAATATTATGCCGTATCTACGGCGTTTCCAGCGTTTTCGAATCTAGCATTAGCATTTATTTTTCGTAATTTTTTACAGCAACTCAACCTAAATACACTGACTGTCAGAGACGTTACATGGAGCTGTCCAGAAACCCAGTTCAAGGTCGGTATATCCCCTGGTGTCGGTCTGACGGTGGATTTAACTGGCGTCAATGTTATGGCGATCACTGCTTTTGTGTCGATCAATATGGACAAGAACTGTCGAATACACGCGTCCACAGCAGCAATGGGTTACCGAAATGTTCAAAAGAAGGTAAATCAAATAATTTATTTAAACATTGCACAGATGGTAGCGTTTTAATCATTTTTAACCCAATCTCCTGTGAATAAAAAGTGTGCATTGCAATCATAGTAATGGCATCGCACATCTAACAAGACTGAGTGGATAATCCTATAAAGATTCTCGATACAACTATTAACGAACGCGAAAACATAAATACGTATCAAACAGAACAACCCTTGACGGCGGATCGAAGCTTCCCAATATTAACATTAAAATAGACGGACCTTCCCTGAATTCCCTAGTCAATGAGCGGAAGTTCCTGTTGAAGTCGTGGAAGTATCAGTCTTCCGGCACATTAACCAGTGCCGTTGCCTTCGCGTAGTACTTTCCCTCGGCGGAAGCAATCTGGATTTCGCGGTTCAGAAAAACCAAACTAGAAGCTATGGAAGTATGTATGGCAGTCTTTAAGTATAATGTGTATCTTAGGATATCGATTATACAGGAATTAACCATTGTAAGCTTTCATCAGCAAAATAAAACTCTATTTTCAGGAGGATTGCTGACTCCATGCCAGCTTAAAGCTCTCCCAACCTACATCGGTGCACCAGGTGTCGCTTTTCGTTGTAGGAGAGATGGCAGTTTCGAGGGGGTTCAGTGTGAGAGGAATGGCGTCTACTGCTGGTGTGTCGATGAGAATGGGAACGAGATACCTGGGACTAGAAGTAGGAATGCGATTAGATGCCCGAGAAGAGGTAATCTAAAATACGTATTTTTCATTGAAACTTAAACGTTCGCAGCAAATGTAATTACTAATTGTAATTCTAGTTCTCGTTCTACATTGACCGACATTTATCGAGGGAATTTCTGTTTTATAGGAGCTCCACTGACCTCTTGTTGGAGAGCGTATCAAGATGCCCTAAGGAGTTATACCATTGATAAGTTCATTCCTTGGTGCCGCCCAGATGGTTCATACAGCCCTGTGCAGTGCTACCGCTCCTATTGCTATTGTGTGAATAAGGATGGTCAGGAGATCAGTGATACAAGAACATTTACTGTAACTGGAAAACCGAAGTGTACATATACAAGTGAGATGGCGTCTATTCTTTTCTTAGAAATAATACATGTGGAAATCAGTACCTGGTATGCACCTCAGGTACATGCATGTCGAGAGGAAAATAATTACAATTACAAGATTCACTTCATGCGTATAGTTGGTTTTAGAGGCCCTACTTTGTGATTCATTGCAAAGCGCCGGCGTTGGTTAGTGCAATAAACCTTTAGTTACGACTGGAAATCGTTCCTTATGAACGGGGGCTCTTGCTAGGGAGGTATGAACATTAGTTCTGTGAGATCTCTCCTGCCAAATCGGTTTTGGCGAAGTTTGTAAATTATGACGTCTTCAATATTTTTCCTTTCTTTTAACAGGTGGCTACCGTAAACCCTGCCAAAGAAGGTATTGGGAAGCCGTTAGAAGTGGCGCACCTTCCGATTACATTCCGAGGTGCTGGAGTGAGGGAAATTATGAACCAATGCAATGCAACAGACAGAGCTGTTGGTGTGTTGAACTTGATGGAACTGAGATTCCTAACACAAGATCAAGAGGAACAGTTACTTGCCCTCCATGTAAGATGACATTTGAAAGGTTAATTCTTCCCATTTAGCAGTGTTATCAGCTATTTACAAATGAAACGTAGAGGTTTACTCTTCAAAGCTATGCCCCAGTTCTTACATAAGTCATGACTGTCCCTGTTTTTGCCAAAAGCATATTTGGCATCATTGTGATAGAATATGCCTTCTTTTCTTGGTAGATGATAGAAGGCCGCTGGACTTTGGCTTCTTGGTAGATTCTTCTCCGGACATCAGCAGGGAAAACTGGCAACGGATCTTGTGGTATATGCGTAATGTTGTCGACAGACTCAGTTCCATCAACCACGGTTCTTATGGAACAAGAGTGGGAGTCGTTAGTTACGCCTCAGTTACCCGCCTGCACTTTGACTTTAACTTCCTCCACGGTTTTAGTCTAAATAAAGAACGAGTGAAAGCACATATCAACTCGCTTCCTCGTCAACCTGGTAATGATAGAAGGCTTGGTGGCGCAATAGATTTTACAAGAAGGAACCTTTTCAGTCGTAAGGGTGGAGCACGTCCCAACTCCAGGAGGGTAAGTTCAGTCAAACCTGGTCTTTTGTTAGCACACTGTACATATCGAAAGTTTTCTGTATTTCCTTTTCACGTTCGTTCTTTGATAAAAAGAAGGCAACGACAACAGCAGACAATACTGCATCTCGACTGTCGCATTTGAAATAAAATGAACACTTTTACAGCTTTTGTTTCGTTTCTTCAGAAATCAGACGAAATTGGGTTACACGGTGAACGGAGCGGTCAATTAACAGAAAGGGTGCATTGTAAATAATTTTGAATCATTACAGCAAACCAGCGAAGAAATGGGCCTTAATTGATACCAATTGTGCACGGACAATCTTATCGCATGTTCTGCGAAAAGTTTCTGAGTCAACACTCACGGAACAATCGCATAAGGTTGTTTTTCGTTGTTCTGCTGCCGCCATCTTCACTCTCATTTCTTAACACCTATTTCATCAACGCCATTAATCAGCTCTTTTCAGTAGAAAGGGACCTCAGGGGTCAGAGGAACGTGAAAATTGACTGGTAATTAAAAACTTTCTTTTTGTTTCAGATTCTTTTGATTATTACAGCCGGACCTCAGGCTGCAGGCTCCAGCTTTGCATCTGCTGCAACACAGCTCAAGAAAGAGGGTGTTCAGATCTACTCAGTAGGAGTTGGCTCACGTTATAAGCAGGAAGAAGTTTTGTTTCTGGCTTCGTACGCAGATTATGTTCGCCCATACAGCTTCAGTGAACTTCCCAGACGCTACTTCAATCCAGGTAAAGCTACCATAATCTGAAAAAACCGATAAAGTGCAAAATTCATCGAAATGGGGTAATTACTGAGTTCTGTTCGTAAAGTCACTACAAACCTACTAAACGGAGAAAAAATAGGAACATCGACAAGAATTTTCGCTAGCTATGTTTATTGCCTGCGAAATTTAGGGGTACTCAACCGTTGAATTACTAAACGAGAGACGGAAGTCGGCAGGAGGACGATCTGTAACAATTTGAATTATTGAGTTTACACAGCTGTGGCATATTTTTAAGAATTGCACAAATTATCCAAAAGATTCCACGACGTTGTGCTGTGATAAAGATGTTTGAGTATCCCAAACTAAGACCTGGAAACCTCCTGGAATTATTTTATGCTACCGTTAAAATTGATGCAAATGAAGGTATCTTTCGTTCTCTTCCAGATTACCAAATAGATCTGGGTTTTATCGTGGACTCATCAGTGGACTGGAAGAGTTACACCAAGGCAGTCGCCTATGCCTTTAACATTTCTCCTGGTAACACTCGTGTTGGTTTCATTGTCTTCGGTAACTATGCTAAGATAGCTTTTCCATTTGATGCAGACTACACCTGGGCAGGCGTAAGGCAACTCATAGATGGTATACAAGTGTCAGATAGCAAGGAAAAGAGAATTGACCTTGCCTTGCAGATGGCATATAAAGACTTGTTTACCTCTCGGAATGGAGCCAGATCTGGTGCAAGAAAGGTGAGTAAAACTAAAATTTACCCCTCACCCTACTAACTGACGTCAATACTCAGAAAGAGGACGTTTCGAGCGTTAGCCCTTCGTCGGAGCGAATAGAGGAATTGTGGGTTGTGTGTGCTTTTAAAGGCACACACAACCCACCGTTACTCCCACCGACGCAACCCCAAACAGTTTCTTTCGAAACTATCAGCCTTTAATACTTAGAAAGGTTCGAAATTACCTTTGCAAGCCTTCCAGGAGCGGGGTATCTTAAGGAGGGACGAAAGGTCTTTTTTCCTTACCTCCCTTTCTTAAGAGGCTACGCCGCGCAAGAATATCTCCATCTGCATTTAAAAAAATAGCGGCTGCTACATGATGCATCACGATCCTTAGCTTGTTATTGATTTGTTTTGCTTGAGAAGACGTCATAGTCAATAATCCATAAAAGAAATCAGTCTCCACTTTTTAAATATTTCGATACCAGTGAAACACGACTAATAGCTTGTCTGCGTATTTATAGCCCTCGCCTTATTTTTATGTGGTTGTTGTAGGTCCTCATCGTGATATCTGGTGGAATCTGGAATGTCTACTATCGTCCTGCCTGGCGGTCTGCAGCAGCACAGCTTAGAAGCAGTGGGGTTGATGTCTACATCACAGGGGTCATTCCACAAGCTGCTGCTTCTTATTTCCGTGACATAACAGGAAGCCGGCCTCCGTTTTCAACGAAAGCTTACGTAGCCTCAGAGCAAGGAGCGATGGACTATTACCAAGTGATAAGAAACATTGTGTTTGGAGGTATGCGAGAATTCATTTTCTATTTATCGCGGCATGCAACAAACACTATTTTAAATGACAATTCCGTTATCCAAATGTGTTCAGCAATCACTTTCAGTTATGATTAAATCTATAGCAACGAAAAGTAACGAACAACTTCGTTAAGGTCAAAGATCGAGACAATGTTTCTATATCTAAGTTCGCTCAAATTTTATTTTGGATAAAACCAGGCCACCCTCGTTGAGAGAGCAAAATGTACCCAGGTTATTTCAGATATCTGTTTTCAATAAATTCTTTTTCGAGTCTTTGGCGAAAACTGAGAATGCTTGGAGTTAGGACAAATCTCGAATCAGATCTAATGAAGACGGCTACCCAATAAAAGTGCCTTTCCTTTATGGAAAAATATAAGGTCCAGTTGAAAGATATTTCAATAAAAGGAATTAAAACAGTTTGAGTGTGGATGAAATGCGTCCAAAGTTTGTGATGTCAAATTTTGCGAACGCGAAGCGATTTCTGATTAGTAACTTTCAGGTTTTAATTCCGGTAAAATTCAATCTTAGGTGAATGCGCAATTTTCTTACTTTCGTGCGGCAGAAGGGTCTCGAGCAGGAACCACTACATAAGAATTTTTGCAATCTTGTAGCTATTTACGAGAAAATGCTGTGGGATACCTGTCACGAATTCAAGGTTAGGATCGGCATTTGCCTTCAGCTCATCTGAAGACATCCGCACTCGATTATAGAGGAGACGCACGTTTTCACTAACTCCAGCCCATCGCTATTACTGAATACTGACACTTTTCCTCTTGTACCTGCAGCGAGACCTCGTCAAATCGACCTTGGCTTTGTAGTGGACTCTTCAGATAGTGTTGGTTGGTCAAACATGCAGCGTTTCATATCATCCATGGTAGAATCGTTTGATATTTCGGAAGAAAGAGTTCATGTAGGGTTCATCGTTTTCAGTGACAGAGCGGTACTCTCGTTCGGATTTAATGAGCTCCAGGGATCTTCTTACACCCTCAGTGGTATCAGGCAGTTGATAAACAGAGTATCTCGACTTGGAGGAAGTGAAAGAAGAGTTGACCTCGCATTGAATACAGCCTACAGAGATCTTTTCAGCGATGTAGGTGGAACCAGAGTGACTGCCAGAAAGGTAATAAAACTCATAGGACACTTCGAAAATACCACAATATCACTACTCGGCCGAACAAGAGATTATAGTTTAGTTTATAGTCACTTGTGTCGAATGAGGATTTCTGCGGTTTTGGTAGTCTACTTCTAACGCCTTTTATTATCAGCATGACTTGCACGTGCTATGCCTAAACCGCTTGATGATTTGCAGACCCAACAATTGTGCAAAAATCATTAGGTTAAGCTATAAAAACGTAACACCATTAAAGACTACTATAGTAAAAATATAACCGAAACAAGCAAATTCAAGCTCAGGTAGAACATTGACATCTTTATCAAAATCTAGTAAGCAGCATGTATCAAGATTGTGGGTAGGAACCACCATTACTCATTACTAAGGGTTAGGGTAAGTCCACGTAAGACGCATATGAAGGAAAAACACTCCAAAATGAGGAAAGGTCAACCAAACAGGAATTTAAATACCAATTCTTATCATTTAAGCTTTAAAACCATTTTAAAAAAGTTGTGATTGCATTACAGGACTGTACATCTAAATTTTTTGACGGGTGTATTTGATCTCTTTGTATTTTGTGTTTTGCATCTTACAACTGTTAGTAACTGATTTCTTTATCATTATGAATATATATTTATCTTTTTTGTCGTTAGGTGCTTGTCCTTCTAACAGGGGGTGACTGGGATCCGCAGTATGAATCACAATGGAAGTCTTACGCCGAAAACTTAAGGAATGTGCCGGTCAACATGTACTCTTTCTCTTTTGGTTCGGTTCCAACGCAAGCTCAACTTCAGCAAGTGATTCCTTACAATCGTGATGTGTTTAGGGTCAGTTCGTATGATGCAATGGGCAGCAGACCATCTGACTTAGTTAACGCCATCCGTGGAGGTAAAGCAGAAGTAGTGATTTGAGTTGTAATTCAGGAAAAGGAGGGTAGGCGTCTTTTCTCAAAAACAGGTAGACTACTAGTTCATGTCGAAAACTGATGTTTGAAATACCAGTCTTGTACCAGAGAAGTGAAAGAAAAAGTAAGAAGACGTTTTCACGCGATCTTATCTCACGAAAAAGATTGACAGCATGCATTCGAAACGTCGTACTCCCCGTCGGATGTGACTACTCCACGAGGGTGTATTCTTTATTACTATTTTAGATCAACAGTGGATAGACACAAATATTTCAAGGTTTGTAATTCCTTCCTTCGTGACATTGAATTCCTCAGTGTAAACAAACGCCTACGGTCTGATCGTTCAAAGCCAAATGACATCCTGAACAATGCCCTCTTGTGTACGTCTCGATTATTCTAAGAGTTGTATGGAATTCAGGTGATAAATAATCGCGCCACGAAATCATAAGTCTGAAAATCTATGATCGGAACCTTATTTGAAGTGTCAGTTGTATGCAAAGAAAGTTCATCAGCTATGATATCTTTTGTCTGCAGTGTATGCTGACGAACCTGTGGACATTGCTTTTTTGGCTGATTCAACCTCGGCGGTTAACTGGGATCTAACCCGCTCTTTTGTAAAGAACATCATCGATTCAATGGACATCTCAGAGCAAAAGGGACATGTAGGATTTATTTCGTACGCCAGCAAAGCATCTCTTGGATTTGACTTTCGCGGTCATGGTAATGTGGGCTACACGAAATCTGGAGCAACCCAGCTGATTGATGCAATTACACAGCTAGGAGGAGACGACAGGGTTATTAACCAGGGTCTTGACATGGCCACGTACATGTTTAGCCCTAGAGCAGGTGCAAGAGACAAATCAAGAAAGGTGTGTAACTTCTAGGCTTTGAACCATGTGGTATACCTAATGACATAATATTGGCCATTTCTCTAATGGTGCGATTTACTGAGTGCGCAATGAACAAAGGGCCTAATTTGATACTTTTTTTATACGAGGTTTCATTCCCATTCTTTGAGCAATTGAACTCTTTTGAGGATGCAAAATTTTACTCCTGTCTCACATGTATGCTGACGTAAATTTTGCAAATCATGGTTGTGATGCGAGTACTTTCTATGGACGATTTCATTTTTCAGCAGCGCTAAGGGGACTAGGGAGGAACTTGTTTCAATGCTTGATCACAAGTTTCAGATGGAAGAGGTGCCTTGAGAATGGGCCCAGTTTTCTTTTTTTAACCACATTGCAAGCATTGTAGGCAATTGAAAAAGAATTCTTATTTTTATTATTTTATTAGATTCTTATCGTGATATCTGGTGGTTCGTGGAAAACTGACAGCGATTTAAAAACATACAGAGATAGGGTACTTTTGGGCCTGAAGGGCAGTAATATTGAGATATACACAGTAGGCGTGGGACCAGATACCACTGCTTCACAAGTGCGTCCATTTTCATATGGAAGAAGATATTGGTTCCTCTCTGACTCATATGACGATCTACAGAACGTTGCACCAAGACTGATACGATCGATCCGAGGACGTAAGTACACTTTTGAGTATGTTAACCCTTTCACTCCGAGATCTCAATAGTAACTCCCTTACTGTCTGCCATACAATTCTAATGGCACTGGTTTGGAGAATAGAGCATTGGATCAACTACTTATCCCCTAGTTTATATTTTTCTCTCTTCTCATCACTTTCTGCTTGATATTGCATCGATATTGTAAGGAGAAATTCTGTCTTGGTCAATCATGGGAGCTGTAAGGTTAATAGGTAAGCTTTAGACATGCGTTTATGCAGAGTAGAAAAGTGATATATCACAAGAAGATCGGCAATATTGGAAAGATATCTCTTTCCGGAGTAGTTTCTGCCAACGAGCTAGTCCAATTCTTGAGAATTAAAGCCAAGTTCCTTGCGCTGAATTTTTTTGACATTTTGTATCAGACTTTGCATTTCTGACAAAATATTGCGTTTCTTCTCTTTCAGAGTACACCCCTCCGATGGACCTTGCGCTATTGGTAGACTCATCCTCAGCTGTTGATTGGAGCGGAATGCAGGGTTTACTGAAAGGTTATGTTGGAACAAGACGAATCTCATTCGATGGTGACCACGTTGGTATTGTGTATTTTGCGTCATCCGGTCAAGTTGCTTTGCCGTTTCCTACCTCTAGGGACTACAACAGGACTACTGTTTTTAAGGCAATTGATGACCTCAAGCAGCAAGGAGGAGTTGATAGAAGAATTGACCTTGGACTTCAGACTGTTGCTAATGACCTGTTTGGGCCCCAGAAAGGGGCCAGGAGAGATGCCGATCAGGTAGGAGTTTTATTTTCAATCATCATGTTTTCTTTAATTCATCCGTATGAGTTTATAATCAGCCGACAAAACTCTAGAGGGGCTGTTTCAATTTCGTGGGTTGTGAAATGTTTGTTTTTTGTTTTTTGTTTTAATGACGTATCCTTTTGTTGAAGAAAGCTATAAGTCCCCGAAGATCATAAGCCAACACTTTCATTATGCTGAAACAGTGCCTCTATCAAGCAAAGAAATGATTCTCGCAGGTGGACTGAAATTTAAGCAACTGCAGAAAAGAAGCCTGAAAATATTCAGAATGTTTTCTCTGTCCCACACTCGTGTCGCGACGAAAACACCATGTGTAACTTTCTACTGCATTACAGGTCCTCGTCGTCTTTACAGCTGGTGACTGGCCCTCTCAATACAGAAGTGATTGGGAAAAAACAGCTACTTCTCTCCAACAAAGAGGAATAGCTATTTACGCTTATGGTATTAAACCAGCAGCTCAACAGAAACAACTTGAGAGCATTACAAGAGACAAATTTATGCTTGATGGCTACGGTGCTCTTACACCTATTCCCACGGGAGTCACAGGTGACATTCTTTGTAAGCTCAAGGCTGCAAATAGCTAACGGGCAGTCGCCGGTCACTTTGTCCGGTCAAACATGCTTTTGCTCGGACACAACCCGTTTTTGGCCGGTCAAATTTTAATAGTCGGAACTCTTGCGATAATGAACCCAGATTGCACAGTAATCCTTTTACAACTAAAAAACAACTGAATCCAAGTCGGTCTGGCAATAAATATTACAAGTTAATAATTTTACTACCCTTTACTGCAGAAGCAGCCAAACAAACTCTCTTTTTATATATCTTGACTTTTTTTGTTTTCAGTACAACTCAGAGCCCTTCTTTTTTTTTAAGTTAACGTTGTGAATTTTTGTTAGAGTAAAAGAGTGCTCGGATTCTCCAGGTTTTGGGCCCTTTGCTCGCTTTTTGCACTTTGCAACAAATGCTGCTTGGAGTATTCTCGATGCAGCGAGATTATTTTTCGTGAGGGTGCTCAGTTTCCGATCATTCAATCAATCAAACAATCAATCACTTTATTTAAGAGTAAATTATGGTATCTAGCCAAAGGTAAAACCCTCTACTGACTGGGAACACTTAAATAAAGCAAATTAAATAACGGACTGGGGAATACACGATGATTTGCGGTCGCGACAGGACTTGATGACATCGTGGAAATTTGCGCTTGCTGGGAAATTCTAGACCACTAATTTTTCTTCTTTCATATTCTTTTTTTTTTTCTTTCGGAAACATTACTGTTGTCTCTTGTGATTATCAAACAGTGAAAATTAAAATTTCTTTGAACGAGTCGGTAAAGGACCAAGGATTTGTCCGGTCAGTACCCAGTTTTGACCGGACAGTGTCCGTTGACCGGCCGTTATTTGCAGCTCTGTAAGCTAAAGCTATTTGAAGCAAAATAGTAGTAGTTAAGGCGTAATATGCACAATTGCGTTTTGTTTTTTTTTTTTTGTTTGGAGAGGATAAGTAAAACTTTGCTAAGGTCAAAATTCGCAAACATCTAGGAGCAGAGAAGTTTTGCTTTAAAAATGTATCTACTTTCTTAATTGATGTAGTATGGTTTTAGCCGCAGTCTAGTTGCACTTCTTCGGGGTAGACATGTCTGGGTGACATAGAACTTTACCTTTACCAATTTAATGTCTGTATAGTTTTTACGTGACAAAGGTGCAATTGAGGTAAGCCGTGAACTGTTGAAATCATATAAAAGTCAAATCTCTATTATCCGGACCATTTTTTAAAGAATATAAATTACTAGCATTCGCGATCCGTAACAAAATGTGCGGCATATGAAATGAAACTCATGAAGGAACTGAATTGTTCCGCTTTTCGAGCAAAGTTGTATGACCTACGTAAACCAATTTTAAGAAACACAAGCTAACCCTATTTTCATTCGTAGATGCTCCTCGAGGGATGGACATAGGCTTTGTGATAGACGCATCTGACTCAGTAGACTGGAACAGCATGTTAAACTACGTACGATTCTTAGTTGAGCGCCTCTACAGAATCGCTGGCTCCAACGTCCGTTTTGGAATAATTACATATGCTGACACTGCTATAATTAGGTTGCCTTTGGGTGACTCTGGAAACCCTGAGAACCGGATCCTCAGCACAATTCAGGTCATTGGCCTAAATAAAGGACATACAGGATCAAGTGCAGGTTTCATTTCAGCAATGCAGATGGTTCCAGGTTTCTTTTCGCTTAAAAAGGGCGGAAGAATGGGAGTGAGACAGGTAAACTGTCGAATAAGTATTACAATAAAATTGTAACAGAGGGCTTTGATTATATTATCTTAGTCCTTTTCTCATTTTTCTCTGAATTTAAATTGCTTTTATTACATTTGAGACGCTGACTGATAATAAAAAGACCACCAGGATCTACTTTAAACCACTTAGCTTTTTGATCGAAAGAACGTGCGACTGATCATCAGTATGCATATGATCCATCTATGGAGCGGTTTCGAGTGATTGTTTGCCAGACTGCGCCACGTGAAAAACCGAGTTATTGCCACTTTTAACGTAAGAATTTCCTTCTCGTCACTCTCTCCAGATATTGATTGTTCTATCAACTTCACCTTGGCGAAATCAACAAAGTTTAGACTGGTTGCAGAGTGTTAAGACAGCGAGAAATGAAGGAATTGAAGTTTACTCTGTTGGGACAGTTCCATCCCGAGGACTGCCACAGTTGGCCTCTATCGTGCGTAACCCTGTAAGAGATGTTATCGTCTTAAACTCCTCGTATGATGTCCAGGATGAAGCATCACGGACACTTTTGAATGATATATTCCGAGGTAAACTGTCTCCTTGAATAACGTTTTGAGCTCACTTTCTATTTCCTTTCTGAGTTATACCACCTTGGACAGGTCTCACACACACCCTTTTTCTGTTTGCATCCTATGAAAAATTATCATCTATATATATTTCACCCTTTTGAGTCACACAATTTCCAACACAGTATATGGTTTTTAATGCGAAGATATTGCCTTCGCACTTCAAATAGCCTAAATTGTTCATTTTTTTTGGACGCCATCTCCTCCGGTCCCTTTTCTTCGATTTATTGGGCCAACCTTTTTCATAATAACTATACCGCTAATTATTTTGACCAGGTCCCTTACCACCACGAGAAAAAGAAGTAGACTGGGCATATGTGGTTGACTCGTCTGATTCAGTGGACTGGCCTTCCTGGCGAAAGTACATTTTGGACAATGCACTGAGGTATTTCAAAGTATCAGAGGACAAGTACAAAGTCGGTCTTATTACCTACAGTGATGAAGCGAGGATTGCTGTCCCGTTCAATGCAAGAGAACCATGGGATGTCCAAATAAACAGAACACCAAAACAAGGCGGATCTGGAAGAAGGGTTGATCTCGCATTTCTGCGAACCAGAGATCTCTTTACATCCCAGTTCGGAGCTAGGAACGGAGCTAGGAAGGTACTGCTACTACTATTTCAATGAATACAAGATAAAAGGGCATCCGTTAGTTTAGGCTGATAAGGAAAAGCTAATCGAAATATCAGTTGTGGTAGAGGAAGTCTGAAGATATTCAACCGATAGGCAAAAAATGACAATATTCTGACTAACGATGTTTTGGCGAGCAATAGTATTATTAGAGTAGTTGTTGAAAATGTACGATTATTTTTTTATTCAGTAAACTTTATATCACTTAAAGTGGGTGGCATCAAAGCCAACCGGATCAAATCTTTCTTTCTTACTTTAAAATAACATCGTCTTTTAGGTTTTGGTATTCTTTACAAGTGGTCCATGGCCATCCCAGTACAGAGACACCTGGAAACCCATAGCGAGGCAACTACAAAAAGAGGGAGTTGAGATTTATGCTGTTGGGATCGGTTCATCTGTTGACGAACGTCAGTTGAATGATATGACAGAGAAAACCTATAAAGGAAATGATCTCCCTTCTATCACACCTGATCTGGACTATGGCACAAGAACAGGTGCTTATTAGCCGGTATTGTAATATGGTCGAAGCCGATTTGGAAGTTATCGATCTACAGGACACCTACGAATTACGTCGTTTTCCAATGACTGAGTTCAATGATTGTTTAATTAGTCGATGATGGAGTTAGATAAGTCATTATCAGGAAAAATTGTCCCCGACATTTCAGGGGAGCGATCTCTCATTCTTCTCAGAAAGCATGGACATGTCATGTCATATGGCCGGAGAAGACCGTAATTTTTGGCGGTTATTTGCAAGTTACCTGACGGGTTATCTAATAGTGTAATGGGGAAAATGCGTCGACTGATTAACATAATTGTTATGGTGATGCGCATAACGGATAACGAGTAGGTGTAGATTCTTGATACTCGACATAATTTTGTCATTCCCGAAACGTATTTCTTCAATCCCTGCATGCACTCCCCCCATCTTCACAAAAGGTAATCATGCAATATTAGGAGCCGTATTTTATTTTTCAGGCGAACCAGGCAAGAAATTGACAGAGTGTCAACGACGCTATGACAATGCTATCCGCCGTTATACTCCTCATGCGATGATACCTCAATGTAGACCTGATGGAAGTTTCCTTCCCAGGCAGTGCGACATATCATACTGCTATTGTGTTGACGAGAATGGAGACGAAAGACCGAACACTCGCCTGAATGTCAGATATGGAAAACCTTCGTGCGATGAAACGGGTGGGTAACCACTTAGGTCTTGTATATAGACGTTCCAGGAATGAAGGGCCAAAATAAATTACTGCTGAAGGCACTCATACTAAAAAGTTCCATACTGAACGTTAGATGAGTTCCTTCAGCAAAAACTACATTTGCGTGGACTGAACTTACATGGTAATCATCCCTTTAGGCACTTAATGTGGTCCTCGTAAGCGTCCTCATATGCGTCGTAATAGCTGTTTGCAAAGAGGCATAAAATGTCATTTAAAAATACTTCTGCATCCATATCTCGCACAAACATTTACATAAAGTTTACCTTATTGTTTACTTGTATTTTTCAACGCCTTGTAAAATTACAGGAATAAAACCTACAGCTTGCCAGGCACAGCAAATTAGGTCTCAAGGATTCATGATGCGTGGCCCCGAATGTAAACCGGACGGAAAATTTGAAGAAGTGCAATGCAAGTCATTGACTAAGGAATGCTGGTGCGTTGATGCCTCTGGCTTAGAGAGGACCGGGTCTAGAACTACCAAGTATCTTAGATGTCCTCAAGCTGGTAGGTTTGCTTGTTGAGTAAGGACTTTAGTGAAAAGAATGCTCTGGAAAAACGTTAGCTACTTCGAGGCGTAAGCAGGTGGAATAATCTAGTTGTCGTTGGAGTTTGGAACTGTGTTTTGTGCTATAATAAGGGCGCGTAAAAATGGGTTAGATGAGAAGGATTCGTTCATGAAAAAAGATCGTAAAACGACATTCTACATATGTCATGAGCTTCCCTTGTGGTTGCTGCCCAAGTAAAAGTTGCAAATTTTATTTTAGGGAAATCAGCAACGTCATGTGAGAAACGCTATCAACGGAGGGATCCTTCGGAATTCATACCACGTTGCACACCAGATGGAAGTTTTGAAAAGACACAGTGTAAAGATCGTCAATGTTTCTGTGTGAATGCAAATGGTGACAAGATTGATCAAAGTAATGTTTTGTTAACCAATGGAATGCCATACTGCAGAGCCCCAAGGCCAGGTAGGACACAATCCAAATGCTAGATAACTCCTGAAAATGAGGGAGGGAACAATGACAGTTAAACGCTGTCTCGGCTTACAACACTCTCTTCCTCTCACTTTAGTTGGCAACAGAGCCTTAGATGTGGGGATCATTCTTGACCAGACCTTGGCTCTTAAAGCCGACGAATGGAAGGATGTGCTTACTTTCCTGAAAAAAATAGTTAACGGACTTGGCGTCTCGTCGGCACTTGATGGCACAAGAGTTGGATTAATGCGTTTCTCGTCTAGACCATATATGTCTCTGTACTTCAACACAATTAGAGACGATATCCTATCACCTAGCACTGTGAACAAGTTTATTGACCCAATACAACAAATTCAAGGTGACAGGCGTATCGACCTGGCTCTTCAGAAGGCCGCGAGGGACCTGTTCACTAACAGGGGAGGGTCGCGTTATAATGCCAAAAAGGTAGAATCCTTTTCCTTTCAATATCCAATACTATTACAAACTTGATCTGGACCGCTATCATGCACCATCGTCTTATGTTACTACCATTAGAATAACTTTTTGGTCTCATCATTATCATTATTCATATTTCCCTTAGTCAAGAATAGTAGAATCGTCATCATTATCACTGTGCTATTGCCGAAGTGACCCTTTAAAGGAGGGAGGATACCAAATAAAGCAGCGTTATTAATAAGGCAAATATGAAATACCGTGTTTATGAACATGCAGTTTCGGGGCATCTTTTTGCGCTGGTTTCGTCAATCATGCCTTATAAATGTAAGTTGTGATAAAAGTCTTTTTTTTGTTTTTAGGTTGCGCTGTTATTTACCACAGGCCCCCAGTCGACCCAACAACCACTAAATACACCGTTAGCAGACGCTGCATCCCAACTAAAAAATGTTGATGTAGACGTATTTGCGATCGGTTATGGGACGAGTGTTAAGCAATCGGAGCTGGAGGCTATAGCATCAAGACCTTCCTATGTATTCATGTCCCAAAGCGCTAGCCTACCTATTATCTCATCGCAGGTTATTGGACGGATAGTTCAAGGTAATATGCAAACTAGAAGCTTGGTTAGTGCCCTAGATGGATATGAGTTAAACGTCCTTCAAACTCGGAATTTACACCATAACAGATTTCTGGGTGCAGAAAGAGTTAATACTTCCCTCAAGGTCCCTGTGTATGCTACTTGTTTCGTAAGTACAATGTAGTAAATCAAAATGCACTTAAAGGAGTACTCGTCTTTTCAACAGGACGTACTCCTTCACTAGACGTTGCTTTCCTGGCGGATTCTACAGCTGGTGTCAACTGGCAAAAGACCCTTAATGCTATCTCAAATATTATCTATAGTTTCGATGTCTCTCAAAGTGGCACCCACATTGGCTTTATACCCTACAGCTCATCGGCTCCTGTGGCAGTCTCCTTTCCAAATCCTTATGTCCGACCCTACAATCCTACGACTGTCGTACAGAGTATCAACAGGGTTGCTCAGCAAGGAGGATCGGAAAGACGGCTTGACCTTGCTTTCCAGGCTGCAAGTGATGAATTGTTCACCCCACAAAATCGATCTCGGCAGGCTGTAAAACGAGTAAGCAATCATTTTTAGCAATACTCATAACCAATCAAAGTGTATATTTCCTCTTCATCAAGATTACTTATTTCCTGGAGGAGTCCTTAACAGGGTCAAGAATGTCAGTTTCCGAAGTTCACTGAACACCGCGTTTAACAAGTGTGTGGTCGAATTTTACCTTTTTCTTTGCTTTTCTCAAAATTTCTAGTAGTAGTTATGTTCCTTTGAATGATTGAACTAGTTACATGATCTGAAACGAATTTATACCAACAGGTAATTATTCTTTTTATCAACGGCAAATGGCCTTCTGAGGACAGTTGGACTTATCTTCTCACCCAGCTGAAAAACACGGGTGTCGAGGTGTACGTGATAACGTCAGATCCTTCAGCAGATACACCAGATGCTTCAAGAGCCGCAAGTGGAGAGGACAACATCTTTAGGACAAACTCTTACAGTGACGTTGAAGATGTCGTCCCCAAAATTTTACTTGCCGTTACTAAAGGTAAATGTAGCTGATAAAGCTAAACTAACTTAGTTTTTGGACTTGTTATCAAGGTCGGTGGAAATAACCTTTTATTGGAGGAAATGAGATTTTTAACCCTCTAACTCTCAAAATCTGATTGTTAATTCTCCCCTCTAGCTGCTACACATTTTCTTTTTAATCCGCTGCGAGAATTTAGTGTTAGATCAAGATAAAAACTTGTACCTGATAAGTTTAAGCATTATTTTAGGAAGTAGTTACTTTCATGTTAATTACACGCACAAACCAATAGGTTCGTCTTTTATCTAACAATCGCATTTTTAATCTGAAATATTGTATGAACAGAAGACATAAATTGGGTTCGTTCGTTCACTTATCCAGATCCCGAAGTGACAATGTGCCAGAGGTACAACAATGGCAACGATCAGTTTGTCATTCCACAACGACCTGGATCGAAATGTACAGCTCATGGAGCATATGAAGAAATCCAGTGCGATGACAAGTCCAACGAGTGTTGGTGTGTCGATCGAATTGGCTATGAGATAATTGGTAGCCGAAGCACCGGGTCAATCAAGTGTCCAACGAAAGGTACGATGTCTTGATAAACAACTGAACTTTTCTGAGGTCGATACTCTCTCGTGTACATGTATGGTTTACAAAGGCCATTCGAAAAGATGAACAGATCAATGAATGAGAGGGTTGCCAGCTCGTTAACCTGTCTGTGCAGCTGCAAACTTTAAATATACTTCTCTTTTCTTGAGCTCTTAATAATTTCAGGGCTTGGGAAGGCTAATGCGTCGCAAGAACTAATTGAGAACCTTTTATACGCGATATTTGTTACCGTTCTATTAATTTCAGCCAAAGAAGGTAAATCGTTCATATAACGATAATATAACGACTCCCACAAATTTAAGTCTGGCGGTTAAGACTAAAGCAATCAAAAATGACAAATTGAGATGAATTCATTGCTCGTTTCCTAACAAAAAAATTGGACAGTTTGTGTATTCGCACTTTAATATCTCTTCAGTCGAAGTATTTCTTTTATAAATAGGGGGAGGTCTTACACCTTGTCAAAAGGAATTTTCGGAAAAGTCAAGAAACTGGCTTTTGAAAGGAAGGCAATTACCACGATGTCAACCTGATGGTAACTACTCCAAAAAGCAGTGCTTCAAGTCATTCTGTTACTGTGTCAACGAAGATGGTGTTGAAATTTATGGTACAAGAAAGAATATATCGGAAGGTGACGTCATGTGTGGTCCTGATCCAAGTAAGAACCTGTAATGTCGTCTTTTTGTCAAAAGATACTTCGAAATACTTATTTTAAATAAAGAGAATCCACTACGTTAACCAGTAGGTACATTCTGTTGATAATTTTTATTGTACCTAGAGGCCCAAAGATGTAAAAATATCGTTTAAGTTCCTTTATTAAGCTTGATTAAAAAAATGATGGTTTTCTCCTGCGTTGTTATTTTGTGGCTCCTATCGACCGTTGATCATTGGTCGGCTTGAAATTTAGAGCGCTAGTTTTTGAAGGAGCAGCATCGACGACGGTTGGCTACAACTCCCATACTTTTTAATGATGTCTTTTAATAATTGATGTTTATATTCAGACAGCATCTATTAATCATATGTATTTAAACATGCTGTGCATGCAATATTTCATGGCTTTTTCCATATTATATAATATATTTCTTCTGTTACTCAGCTCTTACAAAGTGTCAGCATCAGCGCGCTGAATTTGCGTCGAACCCTGGTAGATTAGGTTTCATACCACGTTGCAAACCGAACGGAAACTATGAAGCTGAACAGTGTCGAGGCTCTGTTTGTTACTGCGTGAATATCAACGGAATTCGTATTCCTGGAACAGATGCTAGTATTGGTCAAGGAAGACCTAAATGTAAAGATCCAGGTTAGGACTGCATTGCTTTGATATTCCTTTTTTTATGCTAATTTGTTTATCTACTGATTGCTCATCGCACAGCAACTACCAGCCGTTAGCCTGTTGTTGCTTTGGCAGGTATATTTTTTTCCACTTAAAAGTTTCTTTCCAGGGAGCGAAGGAATATTGATACCCAAAAGACTTCTCCCCTTGCTTTTCCTTCTATTTTTGCAAAAGGCTGTAAACATCAGGAGAAATGTATATCGCGTAGTCTAGTCGTCTATGCGAGAGTTCCAAAAAACACTATACTCGGTTGTAGTGACTGGTTTTTCTAAATCCCGACGGAAAGTCAAGTAATTATTGAATCTGACAGGTTTGTTTTCCTTTTCGTGACTACCCTTACCAAGACTAGACTACAAGATCAATTTTTACCCTGGTCTCTTGTTTTTCTTCGTATATCAAGTAACGACTGTAGGTGCGATTTCCTATCAGTTTTATTCGACACATTTGTTGTCTTCGTAGCTTTTGTTTTGTTTTTGTTTTTTGTCGCTGGAAATGTGTGGAAACGACACTAACAGTTATCTCCTTCTATGTATTTTTGAAGACGATACCCTGACGAAATGTGAAAGGCACGTACAGAAGGCTCTGATAGGCGGCAGAAGCTACGTGCCAAGATGCAAAAGAGATGGAACTTATGAAAAAGTGCAATGTGATGGAACAAATAGCTTATGTTGGTGCGTCGATAAAGACGGTAAACGTGTCCCTCAGATAGGACAAGAAGGTCGAGCCAGATGTGTAGACCAAGGTAATTTAGAAAGGTCACAACCGCACTATAAACTTATGTTCTTCAGCTGACTCTAATATTCTTTAACCTTTCTGATTAAGTCTATAGTCAGGTTGTCAAGGCATTTAGTGAGTCAGTGCCATCAACAAAATGTTTCTTAGGCCCTTCCTGAGTCATACGATCGGAGTTCACGATCATTTTTTCATAAGGAATACTGTTTTTCAATTTGGATAGATTCCCTTACTCCTTGTCAGCGACAACAGCGAGACAGCTGGAGGAATCCAGTACCTGGCCGTGCTGTTCCCTCGTGTGACCCAGATGGTAGTTACAGCAAGGTGCAGTGCTTCCTTAGCACGTGTTACTGTGTCGACGAAATCGGAAATCAAATCAGAGGCACCAGTGTTAATTCACTGAGAGATGGACTTCCAAATTGTGATGATCCAGGTACATGTCACTTTTAACATTCATACATTCTAAGGGCGCATTTTCCCTTTCTTTCAGTGTTGTACCTCACAGAGCTGGTGGATTAGAGAAATGACCATATCATGACATCTTTGCACCCAAAATAACGCCTATTTCCCTCTAATAGTTTCAAAACAATTTTTCAAGAAAGTGTGCTAAGGTACTTATATCGTACGCCATATCGACAGACGAATATAAACGCCATAAATAAACTAATCCTTTCTTTTACTTGTAGTTAAATCACCTTCCCACTGCCAGAAAAAACAAGCAGAAGCTCAGTTGTCATCCTCTCTATCGCCTCAAGTCATGTGCAAGCCTGACGGCTCTTACAGCGATGTGCAGTGTGACAAGTCAACAGAGGAGTGTTGGTGTGTGAATGGAAAAGGAAAAGAGATTCTTGGAACAAGAAGCCTTGGAGTAGTGAAATGCGCTGCAACAGGTAAAATCGTTTTAGCAGTATCGCAATGGACCCACTATTCAAGCAAAGAAATCAGCCAGCGTCTTTTGTCGCTTCTCTATTTAATATTGTGTAAACAGGATGTAAAAAGAAAAAATTTAGTTAAATAATGATATTGCATCTGGTGGATAATAATCAGCTCTTGCGTTGTCTTACTCTTCAGCTCCTTTGTCGCCGTGTCAAGATCGTATTAAAATAGCAGCTGGAGGAAATTTAGCACTTTGGAATCATGTTCCTTACTGTCTTCCGAATGGAGGTTTCCAATATGCGCAATGCAACGCTCAGAATGGAAACTGTTGGTGTGTTAATATAAATGGACTTGAGTACACTGAGACACAGAGCAAGAAAATACCAAACTGCGCCTTCACAGGTAAGCCTTTTGTCGCTACCTGGACCTTGAATGTCAAATTAAGGTAGACATTGAGAATTTCCATTTTAAGAGTTAGAGTTAGATCTCATTGCGCGGACTTCACGTCAATTATTACCATATTCGAAAACTACCGTATTCGAAACAAGAGCTGCAATTCTCGTCACAAGGGTTCTGACAACCCCCCCTCCCCTTTCTCTCTCATTTTTATGTTGGTAACGAGAATGGTAGTTCGCCAGGAGAAATGCAGTAAAGACCCCACAAAAAAAGATAATTCTCTTTTGAATTATTATTATTATTTATTTTTTTTTTTTGCAGTTTGGTATACGCCATGCCAAGCGCAGAGACAGCAGGTACTTGGACCCACAGGTATCGCCCCTCTAGGTGTCTTTGTTCCACAATGTAATGCCGATGGAAGCTACAATCATACACAATGCCAAAGTGGCGGGCCGCTTTGTTGGTGTGTTGATGGAAATGGAAAAGAAATTACAGGCACTCGACAGCCTGGAAATCCAAATTGTGACAAACCAGGTACACCGCTTGGCCAAATGTTTGATTTTATGATATCTTTTCCTCAATTGTTATTTAATTAATAAGTTTCGCCAGGCCACCAAACTAGTCAATTCTCCCTTTTTTGAAACAAGAAAGCACTACCAACTATAAACAGTGGTTTTTTATGACTTTTTTGTAGGTGATATCGCTAGTATACCTGTAGAACTTGGCTTCCTCTTTGATGGTTCTGGACAAGTCACTGAGGCAGATTTCAATGCCCAAATCGCCTTAGCCAAAGACATTGCGGACACTTTTAATATTACGGAAGGACTTGCACATATTGGCGCCGCTGCATACAGCCTTAACAGTAAAGTGCAATTCACTTTCATTAACCCTCTTGATGGGCCAAATCGGACTGCACAGGCAGTAAATGAACTCCTTGATAGAACAACTCATGATGGAGGAGCTGCAAGACTCGGTCAAGGGCTGAAAATTGTCGATTCCGATTTATTTAGCCCAAAAGGAGGGAGTGCTAATGTTCCAAAGGTTAGTAAGGCAATGTCACAAAAATGTGGGGGGTATATGCATTGACAGGTGTACTAAGTAGGCCGTCCTTCATAAACTCCATTGCAATAATGACTGAGGCTGCCTGGATTTAAAGATGTTGTTTTATAATAGCAGGGCGGTAAGGTGAATGTTAAATTAGTGAGAGGATTGCGCTAACTCTGAAGTTCTTTTGAAGCTGGATATTTCGCACGCACAGAAAAGAATTGAATGCATTTGGACGTACTAAAACGCACATACTGTTGAATGTAAACCTTTAACCTTCAAGTTCATAACTTAAAGACGTAAAAACAACAGAATATTATCTAACATTGTATTATATTTAGTAGAGTAAAATGTGGAAAAAGTGTTTCTCTCATCCTATAACTCTGTTTTACATGGCTTCCATAGGTACTAGTGGTTTTTGTCGGAAGTTTTCAAACAAAGGACGGTAAGCAAATTCCCCTGCCTGATGCAGTTTCGGGGTTGATCGCCAAAGGTGTAGAGATTATATCAGTTGGTATTGGAGAGAATATCGACCCAAAAGAATTGCAGTCTATCGCTACCGACCCAAAGAGTGTTTTCCATCAAGATGCGATTGATCAACTGAAGAGAGCTGTGAAAGAGGCGGCCCTTAAGAAACCACCCGTTCCAGGTAAAACATATCTTTATTAAAAACCAATCCATAATTGCAGCTGTATAACTGAGCATTTTAACTTCTCCGCCTAATACAGATGATCTACCTCCAACGCCGTGTCAATTAGAGGTTGAAAAGGCTCTCCAAACCCCCTACAGTTCTGATCAATTTGTTCCACGTTGTAAGAGGGATGGAAGTTTTGAAGATGTGCAGTGTTCTGAAAGCACAGAAGAGTGTTGGTGTGTAGATAGCCTTGGCGTTGAACTACGCGGCACGAGGTCACAAGACATCGTAACCTGTCCTGGAATGGGTAAGTGATACAGCGAGGTTACTTTTTTGTTCTCCGATATTTTGTGGTATGGTAATGATTCTGGGAAAATTTTTCCACCTCTTGAAATAGGATCTGATCTGACAAGATGCCAACAGGAGTACATGGAAGGCCGTTTTAGACCACTATGTACTCCAGAGGGAGCCTATGAAGATGTACAATGCCAAGGAACAGCTTGTTTCTGTGTGAATGAAAGAGGCGATGAGATTGCACAGTCTCGGACAGAGCTTCCTGTCAAGCCGAATTGCACAACGTCAGGTATCATTTGTTAAAAATGAAATAAGATTTTATCCCCTATAGCGATGGTCTTGATACTGCAGAATGTCTTCAACTTCGATCTTCCACGGAGCGGCAAGTTCAATAAAATTTACTCAAGGTCTTTGAACTATATCTCAAATATACCCGTGATTATCAAAACATATTTGTGTTACGATTGGAGAAGTATGGGTAGGCTATGTATTATTTTTTTCATATATGAAACTGATTTCCCCAAAAATGGGAAGTCCTGAACAATTCAATATCAAAACAAGATAACCATGAAAAATTTCGAATAACGGGAAGTCCTGAACAATTCAATATCAAAACAAGATAACCATGAAAAATTTCGAATAACTCACCAGATCAAGAACTCACAGTGTGCCAGCATCAGTACAGTAGACAAACAAGCAACACTCCGCCAGTTGGAGCATTAATTCCTCGTTGCAAACCAGATGGAAGTTATGAAGATGTTCAATGCCGTGGATCTGTCTGCTACTGTGTGGATAGGAGAGGTAAAGAACTTCGAGGAACGGCAGTAAATATTGGGATGGGTACTCCTCAGTGTAAAACTCCAGGTAAGAAGACAGTAAATAATAATCTAAAATTTACGGTATGCAATTTCATTTCATTAATAGAGAAGAAACCTTCGCCTTGCTTGCTAAGAGTCGGAAATCGTAATGGAAAGTTTTCGAGTACTTTCCAGATTTTTAGTTGCGAAATGTGCCCTCTCTTATCCAGAAACCACCCTCCATTCACACGGGTTAAGAACTGATAGAGCCCTCCTGGAAATTTTGCTAATGCAGAATTAAGTTGGTGAGGGGGGGAGGGGGAGGGGTCTTCGTTTACGGTGGACAAGCCATTTGCACTAACGCCCCGTGACTGATGTGATTTCTTGACAAACCAAAATAAGCACGTATATTTCTAACTCTTAGGTAAGAATCTTACCTTGTGCCAACGACAATACCAGGAGTACTGGAAATATCCCTCCATGGGCCGGTATGTTCCACGATGTAAACCAGACGGTTCCTTTGATAAAGTACAGTGCTATGGCCCGTACTGCTTCTGCACAAATCAAGACGGAAACAGAAGAGGTGGCAGTGTTATACTGCAATCGGTTACAATGCCTTTTGGAAGTGACGATTGTACTGATAACGGTAGGATCGTAATGTTAATCTTAAGTTTAACAGAACGTAGAGCTGCCCTGAAGATGGTCGAAAACGTAGTTTTGCCGATTGAAGTTGGAGAAGAGAAATGAGACTACCTCCTGCTACTTTTATCTCTCCATCACTCCAGCCAAGAGACAATAAGCCTAGATAAAGCATCGTAGGCTCGTAAATTTAAATATTAATTCCTCTGTATTTCCTCTACTGCACCACATAAGACAAAATTCCATATGGGACTATCGAAGAGAGTGAGTGTAACAATAGAGTTTGGATCTTGACCCAATTTTGACCCGATGTTTCTCGGTGCTACTTATTGCTTTCTTTTTTCGGAGTATCTTAGTACGGTTCGACATTCGTGCTCGATACACAGTTGAGTTCGCTCCTTTTATGATTTCTTGCCTATAGCCACTCACAAATTATGTTTTCAGTTCTTGTAGTGACACTACGGAATACAGTAAAAAGCGATTGCATCGCACAATCATTTCAGGATTGCGTGTAAATTGAAACAAAAGTTTTCCTTGCAGAATATGTTAATAGTTGTGACTGGTGCATCAAAACGTAGTGGGAAATGTTTTCTTTGAGGAGAGAGCATTTTAACGTCTAAATTAGCAACTTATATAGATCCGAAGATACATTCTTTTCAGTTCTCGTGACACTACAAAAGACGTTAAACATCTTAAATATAATTTTACAATGGCATCCACCGACGCATAACTTGAATACTTTTCCTTTCAGAAATATCTCAAAAGATGTGATTTGCATATCATTTTATTGTTTGAATCAGCGACTTATGCCGAAGAGGGCGGCTAAATTTGCGAAGCGAGAAGGCTACAAAATACGAGCCCCTAAGTTATTCAAAAGAATGATGGAATAGAGAAACAGAGGATCGGAGGAATGATGGAATATCCTAAAAGGCCGAGTGCCTTTTTGTGTGAAAAAAAAAGTCTCAACAAATGGAATTGCAATAAAATCAACAAAATTGTTTACAATTAGCTGACAAAATTAAAAAAAGCATAGGTAATCATTGGTGCAGCCCAGAGGATAGGGGAACCATGAGGATTTCGAGCTAGCCCCCTTAAATTGTTATAATACTGCAATTGTTATCATTATAATTATTGCTAATATTATTATTTTTCACCATTAATTATTATTTGAGTGTCAATTAGACGATGTGTTCATGTATCATCTTTCTCTTGTGGACCAGGGTACTTAGAAATATGTGGAATACGGCAGGTTTTCTGCTTTGCATGTGAGACAAATATTCTGCCAAACTACCTTCTAGCGTCATTAAAAAAGTCTCTAGTTCTTTACAATGCTATACCAGTAGTACTTTTTTTACTGTCTATTTTTCTTTAAGCTGAGAAAATTTCACCAGAAACCGTCTCTGTTATCCTGAGTCCACATTTTCTGGAACCTTTTCACCGAACTATTTGAAGTTCGTGAATTCAGAGGTTTTTTATTGTTAGTTTCCTGCAGTTGAGTACTTTCTAATTTCCTTATCTCATTATAATTTTATATATGGTTGCTTCTGCAGAACAAGTACTCACTCCTTGTCAAAAGAAGCAGGTCGATTTCTTTACCTCTCCTCCAGCTGCTGGCAAATACTTCCCCCGCTGCACCCCTGAGGGGTTGTATGTTGAAGTGCAATGTACCGTGCAGAATGACGAGTGTTGGTGTGTTCATGAAAATGGCACAGAGATTCCACAAAGCAGAACAAAGGGTCCCATAAGGTGTCCAAAACCAGGTCATTACAGTTATTTGTTACTTAAGTGAAGCAGTAACTGACTTAAGCAAGACAAGATGAAATCTTCGATTATTCCAAGCGTGTCTTCCTCTGTAATTACCGATCACCTGCTAACTGCTAATATTGACATAAGCCTATACCGCATAGGTGCATTTTTGCACATTTTTTCTGCGGTGCTAGAACTGAAAAATTATCCAACTCCAAGCAGCTAGAAAAGTCAAAACTTTTTCCTCTTTCGCTGCGGTTGCCAAAGAGGAAACTATACTATTAATGACGTGGCGGTAAAAAGACAACTGAACATGGCTACAAGGTTATCAAATCGTTTTGATTGAGCGTATTAGATATCCGTTTGTTACTGGAACGCACTTCGGTTCCTAAATTCACCGATACTCAGACACTTATTTGGCGTTAACAGTTTGATATGGTAAAATTTGCTTAAACAATTCGTCTTTCATAGATTCTGCCCCTACTTGTCCAGCAAATCAGGTTCAAGATACTGGTTATTTTGCGCACTTTATTCCGGAGTGTGATGACGATGGAGACTACAAGTCAGTACAGTGTGATTACAGATATGGCTACTGTTGGTGTTCTGATAACAATGGAAATCCTCTTCCAGGGACCACAGTGAGGGGTCATCCCGACTGCAAAGTACCGAGTAGGTCTTAGGATTATATACATATATTTAACAATAGTCCCTTTTACAGTTGTGGGCTTGGTGGCCAAGGATGTGGATGAAGGTATAAATCCACCCCCAAATGATTTTACGTTTGTGGTACAATTTAAGCCATGCCAGAGTGTTCAAACTAGAAACTAGTGAGCTTCGCACAATTACACGACATGACCCATCCTTTATCCTATTAGAGTGCTCGATATATATAGATATATACGCTTCTCTTTACTCCTTTATGTGATATTTAAAATAATTTCATTTTTTTAACCCGAATTAATTTCCACATAGAGCACATCCTCTCTGGGTGTCTCAGATGCTTAATCAGCATTGAGTCAGTAAGGAATGCTGAATATATCTTCGCAATTACGGAGTTCAAACCGACAGTCTTCTCTTATTTATGATTATTCTTCTATTATTATTATGATTATTCCGGACCATTTTATACTGTTTCCGTTTGTGGTATGTCTTGCAGAAAAACTGACCATTTGCCAGCATCATCTTCACCAGTTGAGTGCTTATTCCGGTTTTACTCAAACTGGAGCCTATGTTCCAGAATGTAGAAGCGAAGATGGACATTTTAAATCGCTTCAATGTGACCGTTTTAGCTCAGTGTGTTTCTGTGTCGAGCAATATTATGGCTACATTTTGGCAGGATCAGTTGGCGTTCAACAGCAAGATTGCGCTAAACACGGTGAGAAACTGATCCTTTTGCCATAAATGTTTCCTTCACCCCGAGACGGTTGTGAATGCCATAAATGGAAGGTGAACTATTTGATGTCTTTTTCAGGATCAAAACCACCACCATTTGTACCAGGTTTCAAAGTGCTTCCTCAGCTAGTTGGTAAAGCCCCCTGCTCACGCGCTCGTAAGCAGGCATTGGGTGCGCTTACCTTGTACGTTGTCGGGGTTTACGTTCCACAGTGCAAACCAGACGGTGGTTTTAAAACGATACAATGTAATCCCTCCACGGAATACTGCTGGTGTGTGGATGAGGCGGGAAGGGAAATGCCTCGCACCCGCGTCCGAGGGAAAGCAGCTTGTGATAAAGGTAATGGGTGACCTTAGCATCTGCAATGCTGTGTTCGGGTCGCCAGAACCAAAGGATACTATTTTATTTCTGTAAAAATTAGTGAATACATAAGAAAAATATCTAAACAGTATCTTTTTTTTGTTATAGAAGTATTTGATGTTTATAATGTCATTTAGTTGGTCATGTCATGATTCTATAACTTTTGAAGTAGCTCTCAAAGTATCTGTTACATTGGCACATGCTTCCAGCAAAGATACCATCACGGATAGGACCAGGAATATCTTTCAATAACCCAAAAGACACACCTTGTCAGTTGGAGTAACTTTGTTACATTTTTTAGCAAATATGACACGCTGTGAGATGGACAGTCTACGTGCTCGTGGCTGGCAAATAAATGGAAAATCTGCGGCAGTTTTTTCGCCGGATTGTCGCCCAGATGGTAGTTATGTTCCTGAACAATGTGACAAATCCAAAGGTCAGTGCTGGTGTGTAGACAAAAAAGGAAACGAGCTTGTGGGAACAAGAGGTGATGGAAGACGAACGTGCACATCTCAAGGTGGGTTTACAAACGGCTTCTTGACATTATTGTTATTTTTGGCAATTACATTTCAGAAGGTGCTGAAACAGCCATTTTCCCAGTACCGATTGCCTAATCTTGATTGGAGCATGCCCTTGAATGTCAACATTTCCTTACATTCTTACTTTTTTCCCAGCCGGAGAAACAAAATGTCAAGAAGATGGGAAACGAGCTTGTGATAAAGACGGCGCCTATGCGCCAAGACAGTGCGATAATAGCACTTGTTGGTGTGTAGACCGAGTGGGGAGAGAAATACCCAGGACGAGATCTGTGGACAACAAAGAAAATCTCAAATGTGATGTAACAGGTGCCTATGCTGAGTCATCTTACTGATAAGATATGATGTCATAACTGCTTTCGATAGTCATGTTTTCCATATATTCAAAATCAGAAGTTAACTATGTCGTAATAGTCACTGGATACAAAAACCTGGCACCCTATCACCTTACTAGATAGCTCCAGTTGTTTACAAATTTCTTGTGATGAGCAGACAACATATTGCCAAGAGAACTTACTTCATTCTAATGCCGAAAGGATAAAGAGCATTTACTGGAGCTGAGTCTACGTTTGGGTGATAACTGCATCTGTTTTTTTAAAATCAACTTGAATTTAAATACTGTATAAAGCATCTAAATGATGTTTTATAATAAACAAAACTTTACATTTTCGCGGTTGGATATGAATTCGTATTCTCGTTTAATTTCCATTCCTGTCGACGACAAAACTAATCCACGTGTGGCCATGTAATATCCTCTCTAAAATTATCGCTGATAATTCATTACCTGAAAAAAATACATGTCCTTCTTTGTTTGGGAACTTCTTTTCTCGTTCTGTTCTATCCCAAAGCTGGATTACCAAAATGCCAAAAGGAACGACAACGGAGTTTGGGATGGAATGGAAAACCAGCTCCTGGTGTTTTTGTGCCTGAGTGCGACACAAGTGGAAATTTTAAAGCTTCTCAATGTCATGAGGCATCAGGATTCTGCTGGTGTGTAGATGCTGAGGGGAATGAGATTGCAAGGACCCGTGTAAGAGGACGGGCCATTTGCAGGCCTTCAGGTAAATTTCTCGCTTTGCGCAACTCATTTTCCTCTGACATGCAATATCCTCTTTTAATTCCTCGCCACTTGCCCAATATCCTCTTTTAATTCCTCGCCACTTGCCCAAGAGGTAGAGGAGAGGTACATTGTCAACACTTTTGGGGAACTTACGAGGACTATTTCGCTAGCAACAATTTTTGGTTAGCTAGTAACAATTTTTGCTAGCAACAATTTTTGGTTAGAGTTAAAAATCTGTTGATATTCTGAATAAACTGTAATGTAAAAACATAGGATTGCATTATCCTTTGGTACCTGTGTTCACGTTAGTATTCCTCTGACTTGACAGTTACCAAGTCTCCATGTCAAAGAGAGCGTCAAAGGTACCTCGGCTGGAAAGGCCAAGTGACAGGATCTTATCAACCAGCTTGTAACGATGATGGGCGTTACGAGCCTGTCCAGTGCAACGGTACCCACTGTTGGTGCGTAGACACTCATGGATATGAGCTTCCGGGAACACTGCGTTTGAGCTTGGGGATCAATCCGCAGACCCCTGACTGCTCTAAAACACCAGGTATAAGTCACTTAAGTGACATATTGTTTGTGTTTTTGCCTTTCCCTGAAAATTTGCTCAACCTTGTGTGCTCAGCACACACTGACTAACCATCATTTTCCAATTTAAAGTCAGACGTGGAAACTGTTATGACAGCGCGTTATCCTAAATATATGGTTTTTATTTATGATATCCCATGGTTCAACTACTCAACAGTTCTCAACCTAGTATTTTCAGCACCTTTTCACTAGGGTACTGACTTACCATCATAAATGAAATTAAAACATTCTAAGAATTAAAATGTTGAATACATGGAAGCTGTTAAACAATGCGTTATTCTAAATGTTTTGATTTTTTGTCATGTTCCTTGGTCCTTCGAAGCCGCATTATCTGAATTTTTGGTTTTTAGTCTACTCAGCTAACATAACAACCTGTCAGAGATGGAGGAGCCGCATACTTGACTTACCTGGTTTCCCAGTACCACCTGGTATCTTCATTCCTGACTGTGAACCAGATGGCGGCTTTAGGCCAGTCCAATGTTCTGGAAGCACGGGATATTGTTGGTGCGTCACCAAAGCTGGATTTATGATTTGGAAAACCAGTACAAGAGGACGTCCCACTTGCGATAAGAAGGGTAGGTGCTGTTTGCCACTACGGCAAAATTTAATTTGAAAAAAAAAAAGCTCTGCCATTGCATTTATGAAGCTCGAAGGTTACATATGTTTGGTTCATCAAGTTTATTATTAGTAATATAGTAATAAATATGTCTTGATATCTATCCTCACCAATATATTGCACAGGTCCAACCAAATGTGTTAAAGAACAACAGTTGGTAAGAGCACTTAAGAGTCAAAACGGAAATAGGAAAGGCTTTACCCTTCTTTGTAATCTCGCCGGCGGATATGAAAGAATGCAATGTGATGCTTCTGTTGGAGAATGCTGGTGTGTTGACAAAATGGGCAAAGAGGAACCACGAACACGTGTCAGGGGTAAAAAGCAATATTGCGATGCGCCAGGTAAGAAAGGCCATTTACGATGTTCATTAAAACTAGCCGAATCAAGAATCGTTCAGATTTTTTTACACTCTTATGTGTAAGTTCCAATGATTTATAATGTTCTTATAATTGTGGATTGAAATTATTGAATAATATCCATCACAAGAGACGAATAAGGCAAAAAAGTCGGGTCGAAAATGTTTAAGGACAATAATGAGTTAACTGTTCCATTAACTTTGTCGAAGTTCCTACCTTATGTGGGTATAGCAACGTTCACTTCATAAACAAATGTTTTAGAATAGTTTTTTTTTCCCGCTCGCGAAAGAGTGACGGAAATTATTTAAAGATTGCGATGCTTCGACTGATTTACGGTAAATCCTCCCTTAAAGACGACTGGAAGCGTAAAATTCCAAATGATGATCGCGATCTAAATTTGATAGAAAGTCTGCAGTCGTTAGTGATTCTATGAAGCGGAGCAAATCATCAAAGGTCCACTTATCGTTATGACAACAATGAACAACGTTTATAACAAAACTCTCCACTTTCATTAACAGCTAATTTGTCCCCATGCCTGAGGGAGCTGCGAAGGGCTCTCGGCTACACAAAAGTGGTGATTAAGGGTCGCTTTAAACCACGCTGTAAAACTGATGGATCGTACGAAAGGATGCAATGTCTGGAAACTGGAGCTGGTAAAGAAACATGTTGGTGTGTGGATAGTGATGGCAAAGAGATAATTGGTTCACGTGTTTTGGGCAAGGCATACTGTGATCCCGATACAGGTAAGGAAATTTTAACTAAGACTCGTTTCCTCTTCCTTTTACACTGGTTACAACCGAAATATCAACCAAATCGTTTTCACATTTCAGTGATACCTACCATGTGTCAGAAGGAACGCCGCCTTGCCCTGGGATGGGACAACAAACCAAAGGATGGTGTCTTTGTGCCAGATTGCGATTCAGAAGGAGCCTATGAGCCAGTTCAGTGCTTGCTATCAGAAGGCCCTTGCTGGTGTGTTAATGAAGACGGGAAAGAAATACCTGGGACACGAGCTGAAAACGGAAAGCCAGCCGATTGCCCAGGTAAAGAATTGATTTAGTCAGAACAGTTTTTGTTTTCTTAAAAGTGAATTGAGTTTTAGTGATTGATTAAAAAAAAATGTCTTAACCAGATAAGATGGTGTTACCAAACAGAAATTTTTGTCAAAGTCCTACACTCAGAAATAATGACCAAAACGTCACGAAGTAAAACATAACATGTAATTAAAATTCATATTAGCGCAAAATTAGTACTTACACATTATGTGTCTATATTTTTTTATTTTCACGTTCATGTGCGCTCTACTTATTGTTTCACAGGATTTTTTTCCTTCTTTTTGATTTGTTTGTTAGTTTGTCCCTTTGTTTGTTTGTTTGTTTGTTTTGTTTTTTTTACTTTTAGTTGGGGAAGAGTTCGACTAACGGCACCAGTTATTGATAGGTTAGATGTTCGTTTTGGACAGCAAAAGTGCTTGCAGTCCTAAGGTAGCAAATGCAAAGGAGACGGTATCCAAGTCGTGTGTTCTCTGGCATTGTTTTTTTTTTAATAGATTTCGACTACCAAGGTGCGAAAAAACAAACTCGTTGTCTTCTGGACAGAGCACGATCCCTTACATTAAACGTCGCTCCTTCAAATGGTAACTACATACCCAAATGCAAAGGTGACGGAAGTTATGATCCTGTACAATGTCACGTGGCTTCAAATCAATGCTGGTGCGTGGATAGGTATGGCAACGAAATCTTTGGCACGAGACAGACTAGTGGAACACCCGATTGCAGCGATATCGGTGAGGACATCAAGTTCAAGGTTTCAGTGTTCAGCTAGATAGTGACTGGCTTGGAACTTGAAGCAAAAAAAAAAACTGAAAGCGCACGTTACTTAATGCTAAAAAGTAAATTCATCTTTTTTGATTGCGAGGAAAGGGTAGTGAACTGCGAATGATGCCGAAAGTAAAACAAGGCTCGAAATGTGTTGCAAGAGCTGTTTTGTCTGCTATTGAAATAATTAGAGACTACTCGTCAGAGGGCAATCCAATGCTGTTAATTCGTGATTTGCAACTATTGTGATCTTGCACGTTCAACTATTAGCCACTTAAGAGTGATGTACATCTCGATGTAGTGGAATGTCAAGTAAAACCTATTTGTGATGGCTAACAACAAATGACGTTTTGTAGAGCTGTTACATCTGCTCATAACGACTAAAATGCACCCGCTTTGCTATTAGTGCCTTCTTGCACCCGCTGAGATGAGATTTGCAGGAATTGATTGTTTTACCTGTATATTTCAGAGATAAATGAGTATCAATTTCTAACTCTAACGTATCGTAGATTCCAAGTTAACGCTGTGCCAGAGGAAAAGAATGGACATCATACAGGCTGTTAGTTCATTTGGTCATTATGTCCCAACGTGCTCGAAGGACAATTCTTACGAAAATGTCCAGTGCCATCCTTCCACTGGATACTGTTGGTGTGTTGACCAGAACGGAAATGAGTGGCGTGGAACAAGGGGAAAGGGAAGACCTCTTTGTGATCATACTGGTAAGCTGCCAAATTTTAATCACGAATGCTGCACATTTGTCTATGTTAAGTCCCATACTTTTCATTCCAGTGCCTATGCGTAGTCACAAAATTAACTAATTTTAATGCAGGGAGATGGAAAGCACGCCATAACGTCCTTACAAATACAATTATTTAAGTGCACGAAAACCCAAAAATTTTTTCCGCTTAACGAAATAAGCGTATTTTTTGGAGTATTTCTTTGCAAAAATTTTTTTATTTGCTCAAGTCTTTAATTTTCTGTGCCCAGTCAAAATACGGAAAATCGGCCGCCATCTTGCCCCACGACCGAGTTTAAAGAGGAATGGCTCTAGCGGGGAATGTGACGTCAAATCGAGAACACGAAAGTCTGCATTTCACACATTTTCACTTGTTTGGGAAGGTTGTAGTTGATGTTGTCCGAAATAGGTGTGTTGTATGAGGAATGTATGAAGCGCGATACTCTCTTCCAAATTTCGCACGTTGCTACATCCTTCTACAACACACTTAGTCGGCATATTTTCGGACAATATCGACTACAACCTTCCCAAACATGTGAAAATGTGTGAAATGCAGACTTTCGTGTTCTCGATTTGACGTCTCATTACCCGCTAGAGTCGTTAAGCGAAAAAAAATTTTTGGGTTTAGGTGCACTTTAAATTTGCATTTTCTCAACAACATTCTCTCGTTGTGATGGGCTTATGAATAACAAATTTCGTCCATTTTTAGGGCCTCAATAAGTTATGATCGAAAAACTTTAGGAATTATGATCTGGCAAGCCAAATAATGTCCTTTATTTTGCAGCTGGTTTGACGCCTTGTTTTAAGGACCGTTACGACGCCCTTGGCTTAGATAGAGTTCCTCCTGTTGGTCGTTTCATACCCGAATGTACCCGATCAGGCGAATACAAAAGACTCCAATGCAGTGCTTCAACTGGCTATTGCTGGTGCGTAGACAAAAACGGACAAGAAATAAGAGGAACACGTAAGAGAGGAAATCCGCCTCAATGCTTGAAAGATGGTAGGTCCTACATTAAGATCCTTTCATTGAATTACAAGTTAGATTCTACATCTGTATGATTTTGTTACATAGGTAAAAGTTTTTTATTTTCTCCAGTAACTTTGTGATACTTCTTTGATAGGCCAACTACCCAGATGTCTCCGTGAACGTCAGTTCGCCTTGGGCTGGCATGATGTTGTTGTCCCTGGATTGTTCATCCCGGAATGCACTACCGACGGAAAATATGAACAGATCCAGTGTAACCCTTCTTCTGGATTCTGTTGGTGCAGTGACAGCGAGGGTCGTGCTTATACTGGTACGAAAGTTCGTGGAAAACCCGACTGCTCCAATTTACAAGGTATACAACGGACTAGTTCAGTTGCTCCTTGCTTGTTTATCTTTTTTTTTTGTTTGTTAACTCTTTGCAAACGGTGGTCTTGAGGTAAGAGCTGAACTCTGGATCAAGAGGTCCTGGTTGGGGCCCTAAACATTACGCAAAATGTATTTCGAGGCGACACAACTTACAAGATCAAACTGTCTTTTTCCACCCTGGAGGGTGCAGGGAACCGTCTGGGGAACTTAAAAGAATCCTGGAGGCTACATGCAATTGACTAACTTCACATTTACAAGGAGTCGCTATATTCGTATTCGCCTAGTATTGCAGAATCTAGATATGAGCGCCTTATGCCACTCGGCTTTAATCAGCTTGTTTTCATCAGGTCACTAGCAATTTAGATTTAGTGCGCTTGACAGTTTTTTAGGGTCTTACTGGAGATGATGTACATTTCCGACATGTCTCTGATGAACGATTAAAAAAAAAACCAAAACAAACTTCATCATCCTTGACTAAAATTTAATACACCCCGTGATGGAGTGTGACTTGCCTCTTTCAGATGACGTGAGCGATTGCATTAAAGATCAAGTTCAAGCTAGTGTATGGTCGGCAGATTTCGCCATCGTTTTCTCTCCTGAATGCAATAAGGATGGCAGTTTCAAAACTGTTCAGTGCCAAAAGTCCACTGGATACTGCTGGTGTGTCGACCGCAGAGGAAATGAACTCTGGGGAACGAGGATCAAAGGGCAACCGGACTGTAGCAAAATCAGTAAGTAATCATTCTCGCGGCTGTGTTCGAAAGATATTAACTAAATATTAGTCTCAGATCGAGCAAAATTGCAACTTGAGCATACGAACATAAAAACAACTTTAAAATCGATCATAATATTCACTTAAGTGCATATAAGGTGACCTTATGACACATTTAAGAAAATTAGTCTACCTGACTAATCTTTTCTACAATGTTTATGCTGCTTGAAAAAAGAAGGTTTGCTTATAGGTGGAAAGAAAACAACTTGCGAAATGGAAAGTAGTGAGGGTTCACAAGTTCAGCAGACTCGTTTCCAGTTCACTCGCTTCATCCCCCTATGTGATAGATATGGTGGCTACCGAAATGTCCAGTGTGGACCTCTCGGGGAATGTTGGTGCGTGGATCGTTACGGTAATGAGTTGCCAAGAACAAAAATCAAAGGAGTACCTCACTGCGGACAAGATGGTTAGTCCTTCCGAAAATAATACTATTTATTTTGCCGCTTTGGAATGAAATTGGAGAGAAAATATTAAGCTGAATTCATGAACAGCTCTCTCAATAGCGAAAGAAATTATGAAGTTGTCGCTAAACTTAGATAACGTAACGTTGGCATTCCATTGTTCCAGACAAAAGAAATATATCATCTATATCTATTTACGCTCTTTTTATTTGACCATAAAAAGCTGGACTTAAGCGTTGTCAGAAGGAAAGGCTTGCAGCATTAGCGCTTAGAGGAACAGTCCCGCCTAATGCATTTGTACCACACTGTAAAAACGATGGTGAGTTCAAACCGGTCCAATGTGCACCAACTGGAGATGAGTGCTGGTGTGTAGATCGCAATGGCAGACCTATTCCAAGGACGATGTCAACCGGCCAATTGAGCTGTGCTGACCCAGGTTTGTCTGACATGATACTTACCTAAAAGTCAGCTAGCATTCTGCTAAAAAATAATGCGTCCAGTGCCTCACATCTGAGTAGAAAATACAGCAAAATAGGTGTCAATGGGTACAGCCTTTCCACGTACAATATAAACGGTGTGCGCAGTCTGTAACCAAACTGAATTAAAGGTATTATTTCCCTTTCTCTATGCAGCTAATCTAACCGACTGTCAGCTTGATAGACTACATGCAGCTGGCAGACCTGGTCAATTTCAACCTGAGTGCACTAACGATGGACAGTACAAACCTGTGCAGTGCGAAAATGGCATTTGTTGGTGTGTGGATCGCTTTGGTAATGAAATTTATGGAACAAAGACTTACGGAGCACCACAATCTAAGTGTCCAGACAGATCAACGCCAGGTATTTGGTAGTCTTTATAAAACACATTTGAACTGGTTATTGTTTTGAACATTTATCATATTTGTGCTTTAAAATAAAGGAACTTTAAAGGAAAATATTGGATTTTGTGTCGGCCAGTTTTATCATATATATAAGTTCTTTACGCTTATTAAAAAAACCTGACAATTTTAGTGAGGGTGCAAGTTTCTAAAAAAACACAACGGCGATGCTACGTTGGTTGGGAAATGACTAGATAACTTGGTTTTATCGACCGTTTGAAAACTCTTGACGGTTGCCAATTTACATTATCAACTCAGTCGATAAAACCAAATTATCTGATCACATGCGACTCTGCTTCGTTTAGGTGTTAAAACTACCTGCCAGAAGGAGAGACAAATACGACAACTCCAACCAGTGGTTTCAATGAAGATGCCTCTTCAGTTCCTTAGACCAAGTGGCCCGTGGTGGTCTATGGTGAGATGCGATGATAATGGGGGTTACCGCCCTGTTCAATGTCATCGAGGGACTCCAGTGTGTTGGTGTGTGGATAGGTATGGACGGGAGATACCCAGGACTAGACTATCGGGAACCCCTACATGTGAACCAACTGGTAGGTGTCTAGCCGTCGAGAAGACGTTCAAGTCAGCCCATCTCAGTGATTATTAACCGCATTGTAATTATATCACATTTTGCAGCTGGACTCACAATGTGTCAAAAAGAACGTCAAGCAGCCCTGGGTTGGAGAGGAATTCCAGCAGTTGGAAAATTCGTTCCATTGTGTCGACCAGGTGGAGAATACCAGGATGTTCAATGCAGCCCATCAACTGGTTTCTGTTGGTGCGTTGACAAGAATGGAATCGAGAAACAGGGTACTAGAACTCGTGGTGCACCAAGTTGCGGGCTAATGGGTTAGTGCATTTTAGACCGTTTCCGTACACTCAGTTGACTCTTTATCTGATATATTAAAATTTGTGTATTTGTTTTTTCTTAGCTCACTTGACAAAGTGTCAGAAAGAACGAAGAACAGCATTAGGTCCAGTGGGAAATGCACCGCCTGGACGATTTGCCCCAGAATGTGACAGCAAGGGCCAGTACATCAGAGCACAGTGCTACACTGCAACTGGCTACTGTTGGTGTGTAGACTCGCTTGGCCGAGAATTACCTGGAACAAGGAAAAAGGGAAGAGTCAACTGCCCAGACAAAGGTTGGTGTTTTCATTTTGTATTCATTGCTAGAGCTTCACTAATTTAGGGTTTTGTAAATACAATAAGAAAGATGGTCAGTTTTTGGGCTGGGTGATGAAATAGAGAAATTTTTTTCTCGTCTTGTCACGAGCGTGGGACAAAAAAAAATTCTGAGCCCTCATGAGGAATCGGTTTCCGCGCTCCGATGTCCTACCACTTAGCCACAGAGACTCTATGGTGAGCAAGGCACATTAAGAAGTTCACCCTCGTGACAAGACGAAAAAAATAGCTTTCTCTAAATTTAGGGTTTTGGAACAAGAAGAGAAAGCGTTCATCAAAGTTCCTTCTAGTGCACTGCTTTATGTATTACTGGGCTGAAGTTTGACTCATGTTCCATGATTTTCCAAGTGTCGTTGAACTCTTTCGCTTCTCTTGCAAGAGGCGTAGACGTACTGTTTAATTCGTTGATATACTTTAATTTGGAGTGTGACCTTGTCTGTTCCTATTTTACAAAGAACTCTAACATGATCCACGTTAATGCTTGCTGTTTTTTCGTTGTAGATCGCAAGAATTGCAATTACGAAACAAAAAGGCTGGTTACATCTGGGATATCAGACAAACCATTGCCTGAGTGCGATCGTCAAGGAAATTATAAGAAAGTGCAATGCAGCTACGTTTGGGAGTTAAATGAATGTTGGTGTGCTGACAGCAAAGGAAATGCTTATTGGAATACTTCTGTGATGAACGGCGTTCCTGACTGTTCCGAAGGAGGTACCCAATGACTAGATTGTTTATAGTTGTGTATGACTATTATACATTTCACCCATTTCTTGGTGAAATATCTTAATCCTAGAAAGCTTACCAAATCTGAGATTAAAACGTGTTTCACGAGACAGTAACACTTTAAGCATAACTTCAACTAACAGAGTATGTTATGGATACTTCATATGGTACTCTGAGATATTCCATAACACCTCGGGTAGTCGTGGACAGCAAAGTTTGACAGAATTGTGTACTGGGCATTCCGAGGAAAGCCAATATCTCGTGACTAATCAACACTTAAATGTTCTGGCCGAAGGGTTGATTTTTTGGGGCTAATTTGTTGCATAAGTTAAGAAATTTGAAATCACCGATACAATCGACGTCCTTGAATTCCATTCTAGTGCTGAACAAACTCCCAACCGAATGCCAAAAGAGACGAGACGATGCCCTTAACTTCCGTACAGTGGATATCGATATCAACAGAGATGTTCCTCAGTGCAAACCAGATGGTAGTTACGATGATGTTCAGTGTTCAGCGACCACGGGACGATGTTGGTGTGTGTACTATAACGATATGCCAATCCCGGGTACTGAAACTGATGCCAAACCATACTGTCCACCAACGGGTAAATTGTCAGATTTGTTTACTGGCTTACAGTTATTAAATGATGGGACTTGGATACGTGATTCAAGTTAAAATGAAGTGATAGTTAATTTTTCACCATTAACTGTTAGGATTTGCTACCTGGTTGACTTTCCTTTGGTGATACTTGTATTGGTTTATGGCCTTTTCCCTACGCTTGTAAAGTTTTTTTTTAGTTTGTCAAAGGTTCTCACAAAGTCTCCAGCCTCAATAGTTATTTTGGCAATTGCGACTTTCAAGCTTCTTCTCGCACTAACATGCAAATGTTTTTATTCTTCAAGCTGGGTTAACACCGTGCTTAGCAGAACGTATAAATGCAGAAGGTTACACTGGTTCAACTCTTCCCGGTCGTTATTCACCTGACTGTGACAGAGATGGTAATTACAAACCCTTGCAATGTCATTTTGCCAGTGCCGTCTGTTGGTGCGTCGATAGCCAGGGTCAAGAAATACCAGGTACCAGAGGAAAGGGAAGAAAACAATGTCCAATACCAGGTAAGTCTTTAAAACGTTTAAGAAATTCCTGCTTTTTGCTATGATCATGCTCTACTGAAGGATTACCTCTTTTTTTTATATTTACTAATTACTGGACTGTTTCTAGTATAAAAAGATTTTAAATATCCTGAAAAATATTGTAAATATCTGCTAATATCTAGGCGTGCAACAAACAAAATGTCAAGATCAAAGAGAACGAGCCCTCCAAAACGGAGTCATTGGAAGTTTTATTCCAAAGTGCACAGAGGATGGAAGTTTTGAAAAGATTCAGTGTCACGGCTCGGTGTGTTACTGTGTCGACAAGGATGGTAATGAGATCTCTGGAACCAAAACAAGTCTCCCTGATACTCCTAATTGCCTTGTTCCAAAACCAACAGACGAAGGTAGGTGGCGTACTTTAAGTACACTATAATTTTAAAATGTGCAACAAGGAACAACATAAGTTACGTGCAATAATGTCCATAATGTGTAATAAGTAACAGCAGAAAGGATTAGGTATGTTGAGAGCAAATCAGTACAAAAAAACGCACTTATGACAACAGCAGCACTTATATATCATAAGATTTCTTTAAATTAGTGCTTAAAGTAAACTTTGTGCCATCGCCAATAATTTTTCTTGTAGATCCAACGAAAAGTTCATGTGAGGAAAAGTACCGCCAAGCTATGGAGAATTACAATATTGGCACGTTTGTGCCACACTGCAAACCGGATGGTCGGTATGAAGAGGTGCAGTGTGGAGCTGGATGGGACTATTGTTGGTGTGTCGATTCAATCGGCAGAGAAATCTCTGGAACAAGAAGAAAGGGGTGGCCTCAATGTGGTAAGACATGTGCTATTAGTAACACAATTGGCATCTGTCTTCTTGAATGGTTTTTTATTTGTATGGTGAACCAAGCACGTCTTAGTTTCCGATTAGCTGTTCAGGCCCCCAAACTAGCTCTATTCGCAACTAAAAGAGAATGTCTTTATAATCTTGAACTTGGCTATGAGGCAACACCCTGGGTACACTGCCATATCATAAGTGTGTAAGGAGAAAAACTCAGCCTGTTTTTCACAGCAGACAGCAAGTTACTAAATCCTCGGGATGGAGGTTTTTAGTGTTACGGGTGGGCATGCCAGCTGGCTGACCTCGGGTGGGCATGCCAGCTGGCTGACCTCGGGAGACTAAACATTGTTTGTTAGAACATTAAACCAAACAATTTCATGGGAATTTCGAAATAAACAACGAAGTATTCAATCAAAGCTTCCGATCAACTGAATAATCCTCTGACTGCGTTCGCCAAAACAAGAACTTTCGTTTGGGTTCAAATCAAGGTCAACAGACAAACTTGACACGTCCACTTTTGGAAGTTAGACAAGACTGTCACAGTTCAAAAACATATCGCTACAGCTCAAACCTTGATAACATCGGAATTTGAATTCATACAGAAACCACATCTTAATTCAGTTAAACGATTGACTAAATCATACTGAGCTGACTAACCAATAATTAAATAACTAAATACTTCATAAAAATAGCACCAGACATTTCATAAATGCCTGCCGTTTGAAGAATAATGGACCATTAAAAAGCTGTCGTTCAATTTAATTTGTAGCACCTTCAACTGGAGTAGATGTTGCATTTGTCATCGACTATGCCACAACCCCAGACACTATAGCAAAGTTGTCCACCTTTGTGTCATCTGTCATCGATGGACTGGATGTTTCCCCAACTGGAGCTAACGTGGCTCTTATCACTTACGGAAACAATGCAACAATAGTTTTCTCATTCAACGCTCTGCAGGGAAAACAGGTGAATAGGGATGAAGTGAAAATACTGGTGGACACTGCAACTCAGATGACGCGCAGCGCTCGGATAGACAGAGCCTTAGAACTGGCCGACAAGCAGTTGTTTACTACAGAGGCAGGCTCAAGACCAGGAGTACCGAAGGTACGTTTGTTTTTCTTGATTTTCTTGACGAGGAAAATTTCCTTGTTTTCTATTTTTTTCCAAAATTATACATTGTACAGGAGAGTGATTTCTTTGGTGAAGCTCGGGTGCAGAATTTGGTTTTACCTGAAAAATTCTACCAAGTTGCATAAAAGTAAAGAGCAAGATCACTCACTGGTGGATGGATCGATCGATTTTTCGATAGGATAGTTTAATCATTTGTTTTTATTTCTTCTAGTTCTTGATTTTGGTGTCGCTGAATACAACGGAAGACCCTGATCAAACGCCGCTCATCAAAGCATCACAAGGAGTCAAGAGTAGGGGTATTCGAGTTTTCTCAATCGGAATCAAGCCCTATGTCAATCAACGCGATTTGGAGGATACCACAATCAAGCCATCTGATGTCTACATCATTCCTTTGGATGAGTTACCAAGTACAGGGAGGAGAGTAGCTGACACCATCAACGGATTCGTGGATGATCCTGGTCGTCAAACTGGTCAGTACTTTAGTCTGTATCCTTGACGCTTTCATATATACATCTTTCCATTTTTTTAATCTACCTTTAAGGAATGACAATCGTGTTATTGAAAGTCAAGTACCTCAAAACATAATTTTGCGGCTACTGCCTCCTGTGATTTTTACTTACAGCTATTAGCGCATTATGTTTTCAGTTCTTGCTGTCACACTGTAGAAGATAGCAGTAAACGATAACCATCTCACAATCATTTTAGGACTGCGCATGATTGGAAACGGAACTTTCCTTGAAGAAATATCTTAATAAGGATAATCAGCACATCATGAAACTTAGGGGAAAAATTGTTTCCACGAAGAGTGACCATTTTACTGTTTGAATCTGCGAATTATGCCTAGTAAATCCGGATATAAATGTTTTTAGTTCTTGTGGTAAAAATACAAAAGTTATTTCTCAATGGCATCTACCGACGTGGGTGATTTAAATCAAAACTTTCCCTTGCATACTATCTCAATAGGTGTGATTTAGAAATGTTTAAGAATCTATTTTTTGAAAAGAGAGAATTTTATCGTTGGATCAGTGATTTATTCCTAAAAGGCCACTAAATTTGCGGAGTGAGAAAGTTATGAATTTTACAGGGTGACATATTCATTACAATCATGGAACAGTGGAACGGTAGAATAGTGAAATATCCAAAACCACGGAATGACAGAATGTCCTAAGACGCAGAAAGACGGAATATCCTAAAACGTGGAATGCCTTATTACATGAAAAAAAGTCTCTCAAAAATGGAGGGATGGAGGAACCGTGTGGCTTTCGAGCGAGCCCCATTAAATAATAATGATAGTAGTAACAATAGTAATAATAGTAATGCTATCGTTATCATGATTTTTATTGTTATTTTGATTATTTGTAACCATTTCATTGTTTGGATTAATCTTTCCCAACCAACAGACATGACAGCTGCCGCTGATATTGGAATTTTAATTGCTTCCTCTCCACAAACAACGCCAACCAAGTGGTCATCAATTCTTGATGACGTAAACTCTATGGTGGATTCATTTACGGTATCGCCACGTGGGACTCACCTCTCCGTTGCCACAGCGGCCAAGGTCCCCAAGGTGGCTTTAAGATTTAACACCCTAAAGGGCTCAGACTACAATTTGAACGAGGTAAAAAGACGCATATCGCAAATCCCGTATGAAGAAGTTAATGACACACGCATTGACCTTGGACTTCAGGAGACAGCTGATGTAATGTTTACTGAGCAAAGTGGAATGAGGAGTGAAGCTTCAAAGGTTCGTTCGGGTTTTGTTTGATTTTCTGTTTCTACTATCCAGAAATGTTAGTGTAATAAAAAGATTCAAAAGAAATACGACCATAAGGCGCAGAGATTATGGCCAAATCCTTACTGGATACTATAAATGGCTCCCTTGCCAAAATCCCCCTTCATAAAACGGGGCCAAACAAACTTTTACTTTTCGCTTTCATGTAAGCTCCAAGCTCCTAATGGGGTCGCTTTACTCTATCGTCTTAGCGGCCGTAGGGAGCTACGCACAGTTTAAGAACTGCTTGTAGGTGTCTTTCAATACAGACGGGTTTACGAAGGAATTTAACAAAGTACATACGAGTGAGCGAAAAACATTGTTTTAGCTGTAGAGGGGCGCATTAAACTGGCATCATAACGCATTATATTAGCTACTCAAAAATGTCGTCTCGTCACGGTAGCTATAAAGGCTAACATTTATCGAATAATTAATCATCTTTAAAGATAGTACTGAATGACATTTTGTTCCGTTCAGTAGAAACTCATTGCGACCATAAGGTGAAGTTATTACGTTTACATTTTGGGGAGATGTTTATGTTTATGTTCATTTCCTCCTTTTGACACCGTACGTTGCTATTTGTTACCTTTATTTTTTTCAAACCTAGTTCTTGGTGGTGATCTCGGATGGAGAGCAGTCAAAGGATCCCCAAGCAATTCCCTTAGCTAGTGCGGCTCAAAAGGTAAAAGATAAAGATGTGGAGGTGTTTGCATTCTCAACAAAACCCAGACAAGACACCAATGCGGATGACCTGCTCACAATAGCATCTGGAAATGATAATGTTTATTTCGTTGCACCTGATGATCCAGCGCCTGCTATTACCACCAAGATAACGCAAAAGGTTAAAAGCCGTGTGAGAGGTAATTAACAATGATTTTTATTTTTGGCCGCTGGTGTATCACTACTGTCCTCCTCGGTTTTCTTTTTCTGAGAAAATTTGATTTCATTTTTTTCAATTCCCTGTATGCAATGCCATTGTAATTGATAATGTATGAGATGTTTTTCTCATACCAAATCGTAATGGAACGCAGAGCAATTTCTCATCGAAAGTGGTGGCCTATGCTTTGAGGTTCAATTTACATCACCACTAAATACTCTTTCACTCACTTCTAGGGTGTTTCTTTTTTGTTTCCGTATTTAATAAAAAAGAATTAAAAAAAAAAAACATCTCGTAAATGCATTGCTTCACTGGTTAACTGACTATGTAATTTCCACCCATTGCCCACTGAAAGGCCGAGCATTTACCATTACATACGCCCTCATCTGAAGAGCATGGTATAGTTCGCATATTTATACTAGATATTACAGAAATAGTCAGTCACTGCATACCCTGTGACTAAATTGCAAATTTCGTTTTCAAATTATGCAGAGCGTAACTATCCCGTAGACATCGCCTTTCTGATTGGATCATCACGTACAACAACACAAGCTCATTGGAGAACTACTCTTGATTTTGTTAAATCAATTGCTGACCGATTTCCCGTGTCTGAATGGGGAACCCGTATGGCACTGATATCTTTTGACACTTCACCTAGAGTCGAATTCTCATTCAGAGAGCTAACTGGTCCACAGCTGAATAACTACGAGGTACGCAGGTTGATTGACAGAGCTGAATACAAAAATGGGCCCACAAGGATTGACCGCGCCCTGAAGCTTGCAAACACTTATCTTTTTACTCAGGCGGGAGGATCAAGAAGAAATGCAATGAAGGTAGGAACATGCAGTGTTTATTTTGACCCTTTTCAACGAAGTGTACTTGAGTTTCAATTTCGACTCACCTTCGCTTTAAAGGAGCACTCTGATGAAACCGCCCTATAATTTGAAAACCCGAAAAATTCAGTTATTTCTTTATAATATGAATTTTTAGTGATTAATAAAGCCTTTTCAATAATAATTTTAGTTGAAAGTCAATTGTAGGGCGAGAAATTACGATTTGAAAACGGTTCCGCCATTAATTTTCGTAATCACGGCCAACTTATCTTCGGTCAGCGGTCACTCCCATTGTGACGTAGATTACTCAACACACTTTTATATTTATACGGAAACCTCGTGAAATTTATTGAAAGTCTTAGTCTTAGTGTTATAAAAACAAATTTATACGATCAAAATACTGGTTTAAAAATTAGCCACGATCACAGCGCGTCAAATGAGTAATCTACGTCACAGTCCCTTCCATTGTGACATAGATTACTCAACACACTTTTATATTTATACAGAAACCTCGTGAAATTTAGTGAAATAGTCTTAGTCTTAGTGTTATAAAAAGCAATATAGACGATCAAAATACTGTTTTTGAAAATTAGCCACGAGCACAGCGCGTCAAATGAGCAATCTCCAAACTCGCGCCAGTCTTCTTAAGCCTGCGAAGTGATTACGAAAATTAATGGCGGAACGGTTTTTAAATCGTAATTTCTCGCCCTATAATTGACTTTCAACTAAAATTATTATTGAAAAGGCTATATTAATCACTAAAAATTCATATTATAATGAGGTAACTGAATTTTTCGGGTTTTCAAATTATAGGGTGGTTTCATCAGAGTGCTCCTTTAGTTAGTAACAAACAGGCCAAATAATAATAATAATAATGATGAAATGATAATGAGAAATAATACAACAGCCCGTGAATTTTCTTCAACAGATCTTGTTCTTGATAACAGACTCCGGACAAGCCCCAGACCAACGACCCTCCACACGTCTTAATCAGGTCTCACTTCCTCTAAAAGACAAAGGGGTGTCGATCTATGCTCTTGGTATAGGAGACGGGGTTCCCGAAAAAGACTTGAGTGACGTTGTATCACGACCACAAAATGTTTTTAGACCAGTTAACTCTGCAAACGACCTCCCACAGAGAAGGGGAACCGTAGTGGATGCGTGGAATACGTACCTAAGAGGTTCGAACGAGTTATGTGTGTATTGTTTGCCAATTGATATCCTTGGAAAAATATTTATAGATATTCATTTGAATTTGTCACGAGCGGGATAACGAGTTCCGGTCGGCCTCGTCTGTAATCTGTCATCTACTTTCTAATTGGAAGATTATGAGTTGTAAATTTCAAACAAAACTTATTTTTAACCTTTTAATTTTTACTTAGATCGCTGGGTTGGTGTAGACATTGGCTTTGTTGTAGAAGCTTCCGACAATGTGACGCCTCAAATGTGGAGATACTTCAAGGACCTAGTAAAGAGAACGGTTGACCGCTATCACGTTGCACCAAGAGCTGCAAACATTGGAATGATTGCTTATGGCAACACTGCCTACGAATGGTTTAACTTCAACACTCTACCTGACGAAATATTAAACAACTATGAAGTGAAACGTCTTGTGGACGGAGCCACTTTACGCGGAGGAACACCCAGAATTGACCGCGGTCTTCAGATGGCTGAGACCTCATTGTTTACCGAAGCAAAAGGAATGAGGAGATGGGTTCCAAAGGTGAGGTCTCTGCTAGAAGTAAAAGGTTATAGTACTCTATTACCGGAAAAGGGTACAAGCATTACTGAGAAAAGATTACAAAGGACACTCAGGCCGACATGTTTTCAGACCTATGGCAATTGTACATATGATAACCCTTGGTAATGGTATTAGGTAAAAACATCCCCTTAGCAGCAGCATACTGTAATGATATTCCAGGTTTTTTCCTTTATTTCCTTTTCACCGTGCGTTTATTATGTTTGAGAATTTTGATGGCAACTATTCTTGTTATTTTGGTAGTTCCTCTTTGTGATAACAGCGAGTATACAGTCAAGGTATCCGGACAGGTATACACCCCTAGCAACTGCATCTCAAGGACTAAAGGACAGAGGAGTGCGAGTGTACGTCCTGGGTGTAGAACCCAATGTTGACGACCAGGAGCAGATTGACATCGCGTCACGACCTCAAAATGTTTATAGAGCTCCGCTAGACCGTTTGCCAAGCTTTGGACCAAGACTTTGGAATAATTGGAGAGAATACATACGCAACAGAGGTGCTTTTCTGATTATAATGACTTTTTTCCAGTAGAAAAACCGTACAGAATATATAGTAATTGCATGTGTTTTATTTTCTCACCTTTCTAGGTCTCTATCCTGCGGCAGACGTAGCTTTTCTTCTCGGCTCGTCGCCTCGAACAACACCCCAGACGTGGAACGCATTCCAGACCTTTGCAAAGACGGTAGTAGACGTTCTTGGCGCATCACCAGACGGTATCCATTACAGCGCCATTGCGTTTAACTCAGAACCCCGGGTAACTTTCCGATTCAATACAATACAAAGACCTCAATACACACGGGATAACGTTAAACGCCTTATCGATGACATGCGGTACACAAGAGGGAATACGCGCATCGACAAAGCCATGGCTCTGGCTAATACTGTTCTATTCACCTCTCAGTCCGGCATGAGAAGAGATGTGCCACGGGTAAGCTACTTGGATCATTTAGTTCAGTTGCCTAGCTGATTGTCGAGAATAGCGTCATGTTCTCTCATAATCACCCTGCATGATTCCTATCTTCCTAGAGGGGAAAAGTTTATAATTAAAGAAAGTGCTAGTTACTTGAGTATTTAAGACGTGGAGAATTAAGGCTCATGAAGTTTGTACGAATCATTTGTAATTGAAGGAAATTTTGTGACACCAGATGCGAATTGAGTTCTCTGTTTATTATAGTAAGGTTCACCTGTCGTAGGCCGCAACATTCTGTTTGAGGTACTAATCTCTTTCTCTTTGCAAAGAGTTAGTTCTAAAAAAGGTGAAGACGACACCTGTTTTCTCAACAACAAACATCTTTGCATTGCTAGTCTTTGATCAGCACGTTTAATCCACATAAACATAAAAAACTCAAATACATTTACAGCAACTATTTTGTATCTATGTTCCTTCTACTCATATTCTTTTTTGGGTCACCTACAGCTACTCGATTAGTTCCACAAACTATTTAGGTGTTCCAAACTCTGCACAATGAACCTGCATTTGAAAACGTCTTTTCCTTCACAATCTCTTAATTTTTTTTATATTTAAAACACAAATTTTTAATTAATTATTATGCTGTGTGAGTTTGAATAAAAATTGAGGTGACGTGACTTGAATTGAGTTGACCTCAGCAGCTGTCTTGCTGTCTTGCTTACATTTACCACGTTTACCATTTTACCTACATTATCGTTTTTGTTTTTCGTTGCTTTGTTTTTGTCAGATGATAATCGTCTTGGTTGATGGGCCACAAGATAGAGATGTGATCTCATATACTCCTTTGATCAGAGCATCTCAGCCACTGAGAGACAGAGATATTTTCATTTACGCAGTCGGAGTACGACCTTACAGTCCCGAGAAAGAGCTGAAAGACCTAACCTCTGATTGGTCGAGGGTCTTTTTCTACTCAATAGACGAGCTTCCCAGACGTACTCCGCAAGTTTTGAATGGGTTTTACGATTACTGGCGAAATAGACTGCGTCCAAGAGGTACCTGTGTTTGGTGCTGTAATTTACCTCTCTCTCTCTCTCTCCCCAAGCAAAATAAATTATTTTGACAAATCAGTTTTCTTGCACTATAAAAAATTATTTTATAAGTACCAGAAAATAAACTTTAAAACCGTCCTTAGACAAATGCAAAAGAGTGCTGTGAATAAATTCTGATTCGCTGTTTGCGACGAAAACTGTTGGTTTCGCGAGCTGCCACCGTCATTAGCATGATATGGGAGAGCCCAGACATGCTGCAATCGGAAAAAAGGGCTGAAGAATTCTTAAATGTTTAAGGAATGCTGCAGTAAACTCATGTGCTATATATTTGAGATAAAAAAAGTTTTACACGCCAACGGACTGTTTTAGCGCGAGAATTTCTTTTAATTACCTGTGTTTCCACGCTTTGTTTTCAATCACTAAATTTATTACTCCTATTCCTGATTATTTTGTACATCAGTTTTGCTAATTCTTTTACATTTGACGCTGATTATGTAGAGTACTTGAAACTTTCGAAGTGTTCATCCACACCAGTTTCAATTTTTTGGAAGTTGACCAAATCCACGAGTAACAACTTGATCATCAACGTCACACACTAAGTATTCCTTAACGGTATCTTCTGCTTAAGTCTGTGCAATTCCTTTATATAACCGCACCCTGTTGAAACATACAAAAGCCTTTCTGTACGTTATGATAGTTCCTGTGTTAAACTTTGCCTACAGATCCAACGGACACCAAATGTAGGCAGCAGTATCGCACAGCATTGACAAACTATGTAGTTGGACGGTATGTGCCACGTTGCAGACCAGATGGTTCTTACGAGCCTCTTCAGTGTCAGAGCTCCGTCTGCTTCTGTGTTGATCGATATGGAAGAGAAATTCCCGGAAGCCGAAAATCTGCGTATAGTCCTCCGAACTGCGTGAAATTTGGTAGGCATTACAGGAGATGCTCCATAGCTAAAGAGTGCTATTACATAAACTCATCACTATATGAAGAAAAATGACTGCTTTGTTAATAGAAAAGGTTGCTCTGACACAGCTAGTTAAAATATCAACGTAAAGTTTTTACGTTGAACTGACCGCAGCCGAGAATTAAGAAAAGTTAAAAGTTTGGAAATATTACCTTTTCCAGTTCTGCTTCCGTTGTCCGTTAATAATCAGATTTTTTCTGGAAACAAATCGTCACTCATAGTAATCATTTATTATTATTATTATTATTATTATTATTATTATTATTATTACATGAAAACATACATTTAAAGTCGGACTGGCCCCTATATAACTATGCTAGTCTAGGCGGGCCAGTCCATCAATAGCTAACGGGTGATTCGCATGAACTTGGCAATACTTCTTTGCTCACCTTGGCCGCCATCTTGTCTTTAAACCTCTGAAAATCTTCCCATAAACCTTTTACTTGATCTTTTAGTTTATCGTTCTCCTTTTTCAATGACTTTACATTCTCTCCCAGTTTTGTAAGCAATTTTAAGAGATTTTATCGCATATTTTGAGTAATTATAGATGATTTGACTGGAAGGCTTCGACCGCGTGTTCGCGTGTTCGCTCGACAAATCACCCTTAAGTACGCCATCTCCTCATATTTAGTTCTTATTAACCGAGCGGGAGGTCTGTATGGGAGAATCTTGACCGAGGTCAAGATTCTCCCATACAGACAGACCTAGCTCAGTTAATAAGATGTCTATTATATGGATGTGTCTTATATGCCAATTTTTTTTATATTCTTTGTACCTATTTTTTCTAGACCGGTCTAGATGGGAAAATCTAGACCGCTTTCAATATTGATTTCAGCCAATCAAATTTGTGAATTCGGTTGTTCCCAGTCCTTGTGAGACACAGCCATATAATAATACTTGATATCGTCGCAAATTAGATAACAAGCCATCAAAAATTTACACTACAACTGGAAAGAGAATAGAATATTTCATTTGATTGAAATTCCTTAAAACCAAACAAATGGGGCTTTGGTAGTAAACAAACAAAATGTCATATCCAAATTCTTTGGTTCATTTGTAATTTATAGTCAATCCACCAACTGAATGCCAGCAAAAATACAAGAAAGCCGTGGCTCAACGTCTGTATGCTAAAGGCGCATATATACCACGATGCCTGCCAGATGGAACATACGATGAAGTGCAGTGCGGAGGTGGTTACTGCTGGTGTTTGAGTAAGTCTGGATCAGCTGTGGACGCTACCAGAGGATGGCCATCATGCGCAATTGGAGGTTAGTTTGAGTAAAGGTTGTAACAAATATAACAGTTAACATTTGATGTACGTTTACCTGGCTAAAATTACTCTTGGATGACTGAAGTGAATGTAAAAGAAGGTTAATTTCTAGCTAAGTAGTCACGTTTTTCGGGAAGATTCGAACCTAGTATTGTCTAATTTCGGGGTCGTTTGGATTACCACCAGGAAACAGATAATTGTTTGGATTGGGCCCCATAACAGGTTCATATGTAATTAGTATCTCACTGTTCTTTCTTTCATTTCATTTTGATTCTTTAATATCCACGAATTGTACGTAAAACGACACTTTGTTTTACAGGTAAACCACAGACACCCTGTCAGAGGCAATACCAGAAAGCTCATACATTCCCCTACAGTGGAACCTACGTCCCTCACTGTACGCCTGATGGCAAGTACTTCCCTGTGCAGTGCGAAGGATCTGTATGTTTCTGTGTAGATGACCAGGGAACGGAACTCAAGAAAACAGCTAAACTGCTACCATCGTATCCATCGTGTGATGCAACGCCAGGTAGACTGATAGTTTATTAGTGTTTATTTAAGCAGGTAACCCATTTCTCGTTTGAGAATTTCAACCTGAATGAACTTTGCTCTAACAAGGCCATTTTCTGTGTTAAAAATGTTACTTATCGACATTTCTCATAAATACGGGTAAGTGGCTAACTCTACGTATACAGTAGCAATTATGTTTTCACAGGTATCGGATTACCTTAAGTTTAAGTTTATTAGCTTCGCCGACAGGTAGGGACACCGCAACAGCTTGAGCCAATTACTGCGGGCCCAGATTACATTATTCGATTACATTAGGACATATCTGCATTTCCCTGATACTTTTAGACCTTCCTCTGTCACCTTGTGAGCGGGAGAGAAAATCAGCTACTGACAAACATGTGGTTGGCCGATGGGTACCACAGTGCCAAGAAGATGGTTCCTATTACCCCGTGCAGTGTACCACAGGTTATGATTGCTGGTGTGTCGATGATAATGGTCGAGAAATTCAAGGGTCTAGAAGAAGAGGTTGGCCAGACTGTGATCAACCTGGTAGGAAGTGAACAAACTTCTAATGTCTTGTATGTATTTGATGTTTACTTTCTGTGTATGCGATGAAGATTTCGTGTATTCAATTTTGTTATCCATTATTTTAAACAGAAAAGAGACAACCTAAATGTCGACGACACTTCAAAGCAGCTTTACTCCGCCTCCTCCCGGGAAGATTTGTCCCTCGTTGCAAAGCAGATGGCAGCTATGATCCCACTCAGTGCGCAGGCTCTGTATGCCTTTGTGTGGATAGCCGTGGTATAGCAATCCCAGGAACATCAAAAGCACGTTTCAAACAACAAAACTGCGAATCTCAAGGTAAAAGTCGTTCTTTTGCGGCTATTTTGCGAAAGTTTTAATATTTTTTTCTGGAAAAAATCGATTCCTTTCATCTGTTAAACTTTTGGAATGTTCCTCAGGATGGAGATTGACAACATGCCAGCGACACTTCCAACAAGCCTCTCGCTCTTCTTCTGTCTATACTCCGAAATGCCGTCCCGATGGTCGTTACAAAGATGTTCAATGTTATGGAAGTACATGCTTCTGTGTTGGCAGAAATGGTTTGGATTTAGGTCTCAACAGAACTTTGTTACCTCAGCTTCCAACCTGTCCACTCACTCCTGGTAAGAAGATAATTTTTTTTGTCAGGATCAGGCGAATCGCAGGGTTTTTTAAGGCTAATTTTACCCCAAAGTCTGTATTATTAAGCCAAAAGGTTAAATTTGTGGTAACCGGCGCCGAACTGAACAGATGGTCTTTGTAACAACATTTTATGAAATAATAATATACATGAAAGAATTTCTCAGTTCTGATTGGTTAAGGTGAATGCAGTTTTCAGTTAATTCAGTGCAAAAGAGTTAATTCAGTGCAGAAGAGAGTTAATTCAGTGCAAAGAAAGAAACAAACCAGACATTCTGATTGGTCAGAATGATTGGTCAATGTCAATGTCAAGGTCAATGTGAAGGTCAATGTCACTTGCAGGGTTTGAATAAATTATTTTTGCACGTGATGCGCGCGCTCTTCTTCTGCGTAGTATGAGAAGCTACCTCGTATTTTTTCATGTATATTATTAATAGATAATGACATGTTTTTCTCGTGAAATTTGGAATAGATAAGCACTTGTAGATTTTTTCAAAGACCACAAATTGCACTCACCCTACGGGCTCATGCAATTTTGTTAGTCTTTGAAAAAATTTACTCGTGCTTATTTATTCCATATTGCACTCGAAATCATGTGATTACCTATAGGAATAGTGTAGAAAGGTAGAAAGGAAAACATGTAGAATGTTCTGAGAGAAACCTTTTTGGACTTAGTATTCATGAAGAGTGCAAGTAGGAGAAACACTCATATGACAAGAAATAGTACTTTAACTGAAGTCAAAATGACTGTATATTTACACTGTTGATTGCCTAGGTCCGCGAATTAATATCGTCCGAGTCACAAAAAAAAAAACTTGAAAACAAAAGCGAACTGAGACATTGTGCTTTATTTGTGTCCTCGTTCACTAATATCTCAAAATACTTTAAAAGTAGCATTCACCGTCGCATAACTCAAACCAAATCTTTTCTCTACATATTTCCGATACCTTGAGTTGTTTACGCAATGGGATGGAACGTTAGATCGGCAGAATATTTTAAGACGTGGAATAACGGAATATCCTTAAACGCGGAAGTTGCCTTTTTTCTATGAGATAAGGGTCTCAAATGGTATTGCAATAAAATAGGAAAATAATTTTTAATTAACAGGCGAAATGAAAAGCATAGGTAATGATCGTTGGAGCCCATAGGATTGAGGAACCATGAGGCTTTCCAGCTGGCCCCTTTAGATTATCATTATATTACTATTGTTAGCATTAGTATTACTATTGTTGATATTATTATTTGTTACCATTTAATTATTGTTTGAGTGTCAACTAGACAATATATTCTTGAATCATCTTTCTGTTTTGTATGTGTGACAAACATTCTGAAACACTTCCACCTAACGTCATTATACAACCTCTACTATTTTATATTTCAAGATTCGTGCTTAACCATTAGCCACATGCAGTCTTTGACTGTCTATTTTGTTCATTTCTATTTACATGTTAGATTCAGATCCTCCAAGCAGACCCCAAACACCTTGTGAAAGACGACGAAATGCGGCCCTGCGCTCGCCAGATACATTTGCACCTTTTTGTACACCGGACGGATCGTTTGATCCAGTTCAGTGCAGAGGATTGATGTGTTACTGCGTGGATAGGGACGGAAAGACCATAGAAGGAACAGATATTCCCCGCCCTTATCGACCGGAGTGTTATGGTAAGTTTGCAGGAATGACGATATAATTGCATTAATTATTTCAAAAAATAAAGGAAAAAAACCAAAACAAAAAAGTCCCTTCTTCGTTCAATTGCAAAGCATAAGACTGGGAAGAATAACTGTTTTTCTTTTCCATTAACTTTTTAAGCTCAATTATTCACATTGGAATCGCAAAGAGATTAAATTCCAGAGTCTTGCTATCTACAGACTCTACTGTAAAGTTCAACATAAAATTGAATATCATAATAACGTTGAATCGTTGGAACAACCTTTGACTTTTACATAGAGAGCTATGTGTAAATGCAAAAGTAAGTAACAAATTCATTTATGGAGGGTGACACATAACATTCCTAAACGACCTAGTGAAAGAGTCCAAAATAACCTTAAAAGAGTAACTTTAGAACATATAGCGTTGGTTAATATGGTGTATGCTTCTAATTTCAACTATTGACTTATTTACAGGTCCCAAGCCTAGTAAATGCCAGGAAGCGTACCTTTCTGCACTGAGACGCTACCTGCCTGGCCGTTTCCTTCCTCGTTGCACGAGCGATGGAAAATTTGAGCCTGTACAGCTGTTCGGACCAGATGCTTATTGCGTGAATGCAGAAGGCAATGAAATACCTGGAACCAGAGTAATTAGACCATTTAAACCTAACTGTTTTTCCGGTAAGTTTACAAAGTTTTAAATTGCTGACAGGGGACTTACGAATCATTATTTATACCAAATCGTTTACTATCATTGTAGATAAGCCTGGTCGATGTCCAGCGCCATGGCTGGGCCTTGATGGTAAATGTGACAAAATGGGTGACCTTTGCCGAAGAGACAATGGATGCCCAGATGACCAGAAATGCTGTTTCAATGGCTGCCAAAATGAATGTGTCGCTAAAGACCCCAACGAAAAATACGGTTAGAATATATCTCCCTTTTTTACATCAAGTGGTTCGTCTTCTTTGAATTATAAAGGCTTTGCAGCATTCATTTTGACTTGATGAAAATTATGTTAGCATTAACTTCTTACCGATCGAGCGTGAGGGCCGTACTGGGAAATGTTGGCCGGAGGTCGTTCAGTTCGTGCCTAACAGTCCATAGTGCGACTCGAGCAAACAAGCTTAGTTCATTGTAAATACACCTAGTCAATGGTCACGGCTGTTTTCGTAGAGACGGTCCGAAAGGCAAATACGGACCAACAAAGAACCAATCAAAACGCTCGGATTTACCTCGGGACTACCTTGTTATTAAAGTATAATGAATTGTTATATTACTATTCCTACGTTATTATTATCGGTGGTATTATACAACCCAGGGGCTAAATACCTGTGTAATGCAGTGGAGCACTTACGCCAGAGATTGACACTATTATAGTATAAATTAACCGACAGAAGAATAAATGTCCAACTACTTTATTAAAGAAACGTGTAAGGGGTCACTCCTATAGGCAATACAATTGTCATCTTTTGAAACTTACTTAAGCCCTCCACAGACCATAACTTAGCTCACCACCGACACAAACCCACCATTCCCTTCAAATGTTCCTCGAAATGCATAATCTTTGAATTATATCACAATAGCTCTCTCTCAGTATAGCTTTCCAAACACTCGGTCTTTGTCGACAACAGCAACTACTAACTGCCAGATAACTGACTAGATATACATTTACAACGTATTGTAGAACATTCCGGAACCCTCAACACAACACAAAGCTTAAGTCTTATTCTTTTTTTTGCCCCACAGGTGGCATTTGCCCAATACCAATGGATGTCACGTTCATCATTGACTCGTCTGGAAGTTTGGGCCGCAGAAACTGGCTCCTATTGCTCAGTTTTGTTCAATCAATAGTTCGTCTCTTTGGTGTGTCATCATCTGGAACTCATGTTGCCCTTATCCCATTCAGTACTGACGCGAGAGTGGTTCTTAAGTTCAACACATTAACTGGCTCCCTTCTCAGTGTCGCAGAGGTGAACAGACAAGTTGCTGGCCTTCGTTGGCAGAGAGGTTTCACTCGCATTGATAAAGCAATGGAACTGGCGGATAAAGAAGTGTTAACATACGCGGCGGGCATGCGGAATGTTCCAAGGGTAAATTTACTCTAGGATTACCCCAAGAGGAATCTTCTACTAAATCCATACAGTATTTACTCAGATAAATGCCAACGCCCTCTCCCTCGAGTAAGCGCACACCCCCTAAGCAATAACTTCAAACAGCCGCCCCCCTCAAATAAGCATCCTCGGACTACTTTATTACTAACTTTTTAAGCTTCAACAACAGAGGAGTCAGTACACGAGAATAGTGTAGACTCCGTCCTATCACTTCGATTATTTCTGTCTTTCGCCCTCTTGCCGCGCTCTTGGTAATGCCATGAGCTAATCAAAAGAAGCTAGACCAATATTTTGCTTTTGAGGAACAGTGATTTCTACGGTAATAAAGTCATTAGGATGCGTTTAAAGAAAACAGTTGATAATAAATGAGCCGAAATTTTAAATAAGCGCTTTGGCGCGTATTTAAGGGATACAGTACCTTTATACGGTTATGACTTAAACTTGGAAGGAACACTCGTTGGTGCATTTGGGTCGTTCGGGTTTGAAAAGTCCAGCTTTAGCTTGTCCAAGTGATGGGAACGGGGGTTAGCATTCCGATACACAGTCAAATGTATGGGGTCTATTTCGTAAAACTGCAACTCTCTCTTTTTTCCTATCTTGTGGCTCTCTTTCTTCCTTTCTCCAATCTTTCTCCCATTAATATCTCGCCTCAAATTTTATAGCCTGTTCTAGTAATGACGGATGGAAAGCAGACGACCGACAGAGGATCGTAGACTCCACTTGAAGTTGTCTCGTCACGCCTTATGAACAAGGGAGCGGCTGTTTTCGCTTTGGGTATTGGTCCTAACGTTGAGGTTTCAGAGCTTGGAAAAATCGCTTCTAATCCTGAAAACGTCGTAACAATCGATTCTTTCGAGGACTTGACAGACAAAGTTAAGGATTTCAGGGATGGCTTCTGTAAAGGTACATTTCACACATGTGTTCTCTTTGTTTCAATCTGCTCTTGGCACCTGACTTGTTGTGCACTTAAAGCCTTCGACCTTTTCTTACGAGAGTGAAATATTTCCGTTTCCCATAAATACAGTAGCACCAAATTTCCCTCTCATTTCATAATCAGAAAACAGTTTTGAATTATACCCTTGAATGCCTTGAAGAGGCCTTGGTATCACAATGTGGCATCTAACTAACTAAAATCGTAGTTTTCATGATCACCACCATTTGTGGTAAACTGAGAAAATGTGATTGATGTACTTACTCTTTGTCAATTGGTCAAGATACAAAGCAATAGTGCACCACGTTTTTAATTTTACAAACAGTTGGGGAATTGTAGGAAAGATATAAATCCCTATTCGTGAAATAGAAATTTCTTTAGATGAATGCTGGCAAGTTTGCGAGGTGTTTCTTTAGGCAGTTATCAAATATTTTTTGCTCCTTCAGCACCACTTCCGGCTACAACAACAGCACCGCCAATCACCACGCCGGCAGGTATAAGCACTTTCTAACCTTTATCCTTTCAGTTCTAAGAAATAATAATGATTTCTCGCTACTCTCTACCCTGCATTCCTTGGGATTTTAGCTGTAAATGTTCTCTAATCAAACGATAATCCTTTATTGTTTTTTCGCTTAATATCAAAACTACTGTTAAAAGATATTCATTTCTTCTCACTCCTTCTCACAAAAGTCCGTTTACTCTACAGATCCGTGCACGACTGTTGGTTGTAATGCGCCCTACAACATCGGTTGTAAAAATGTGAACAACACGGCTGAGTGCATCTGCCCCGACTGTCCCGACACAGTCAGCCCTGTCTGTACCTCAGATCATGTCCAGGACCGCTCTGAATGCCTTACGAAAAGGCAATCATGTGAAAGTGGTGAAATGGTAACTGTTGGAAAGAACGGACCATGTGGTATGTGAATTCAACTAACTAAACCTGGAAGTCTTAGAAAACGTCCAGTTGTAAGGCCCAGTTCTAGTGTATCTCCAACTGGGTTTACTCCAGTTTAAGGTGCTCTTGAAGAAATTTTTTGAAACTCAGATCCTTTTCTCTATTTTACAGACAAGGAATGCAGTCCAATCGTAGATATTGGATTTGTCATTGACTCATCTGGAAGCATTGGACGAAGGAACTGGGCAAGAATGAAGAGATTCCTAAAGGCGATGGTCAGCAAACTTGATATCAGTCCATCTAATACGCACATATCAGCTATTGCCTATAGCAACAATCCCAAGGTGGTGTACCGGTTTAACAACCGACAAGAAACAAATGACGTCAACGCTGCATTCGACGGTATGCGTTGGCAGCGAGGCTTTACTTATACGGACAAAGCTATTTTGCTGGCGGAAAGTGATTTATACTAGCCTGCAAATGGCATGAGACCAAACGTTCCGAAGGTAAGCGGTTCTTTGCAATTGAGACTGTTACTTTCTGGTGTGTCTTGGTAATCTTTTTTTTTCTTTTGCATTGGTGCATTGTAAGTCTTTCCTATGTTAATAAACGGGCAGGGTATAGTGATAGAGTGTTGTTTAGACCAGCTGTACCTATTTCCATTTCATGAGATCCCTTGAATTCTTTGTCCGTCAGGTTTTGATCGTCATCACCGATGGAGCGCAGACAACAACCAAAGCATACACCCCGCTACCAAGAGCATCTGCAGGTGTAAAGAGTAAAGGCGTAGCAGTCTATGCTATTGGAGT